ACTTACTCATATAAGTCTGAAATGATTGTTTGTGAGGAGTCCCAAGATGATTAGGTTTCTGAACTACTGGCTTAATCTTTAACAAAGCAATTTTAAAGTGGCTATGTTAGTATTTTTTTACTTACTGAATCGTCTGTGCAATACCAGTGTGCTTCTAGATATAGAACAACCTCGTGCAATGTTGTTATTTTGCACAAATATAGAAATCTGTACAGCATCAACAGTATTTATGCGCATTTCTTGTTATTTTTTTAAACAAATGTTTGCTGCTATACCACTGCAAATTTCCTCACTGTGGGATTAATGAAGGATTATGTTATTTTAATGATAATAAAAACAACATATCAAATAAAACTAATTTCTGTCACCTGAACCCTCAGGTTTTGGCTCATCGTTTCACCGTCAGTCCCCTAACGTCACTGCTCTGGTTTACTTTCTGCTCTCAGTATCATTTTCAGCCACTGCGAGCAACTGTTTTCAGAGAGAAAGCTCTAAAAAAAGCTACCTGCTCTACACCAAACAGCAGACGGAGAGAGTTAGCACCCAGCTGGTGAACACAGTGGAACACTTAGTTTTCCTGCAAGAGCTGGTGGAGACCAAAAATTTAGCTAAAGGCGGGTAATTAATGGTCTTATAATCATCAGGTGGCCAGGAATATGGCTTAAAATCAGTTATTATCGCTTTGATGTAAACATTAATAGAAAGGCTAGCTATAGCTTTAAAGTAGCAAGTGTGTTTTCTTCTGAAATGTGGTGAAGGAGAAGAAATACTCAAGTAAAATGCCTCAGAACTGTGCTTGCATATGGATTCAGTTACTTTCCAGGTCCGAGGTGTTCAGGCCTCACAGCCCTGCCTCTGACTTCACCATCAGCCAATAGAAACTCAGCTTTCCCTGCTGACATCTGGTCTGGTCGGACAGGTTTTAATAAGATCTGACACACTCCTGAGGAAGATACAGTGTGAAGATGAAGTTACCAAGAGGTGGAAAATGAGCTGAAGTAATAATAAATACTGGGATGTGATGTCATACACTCTCTGTGCATGAACACAATTTGACATAAAAAGTAAATATTCTTGAATGTAATCCTCTTACTATCCTACAGTGATTCATTTTCTACCATTATATGCACAGTGGAGGTTTACTTATGTTTACTAAAATCTAAAATTGCAGGTATTTGTACTTTACTTGAGTTGTTTTTATCAGCAAAACACGTGATGAGCTAATAAAATATAATGAACTACTTTACTCTTTAACTATCCAAATGTGTATAAAGTGCCAAAAATTATACGTTACATCCTTTATGTTTTACTTCAAAAGCAGGACTTTTACCTCTAGTAGAGTATTTTTAGACTCTTGTGTTTCAACTTAAAGAATCTGACACCACGATCTAGACATTGATGGTCATTATTAGCATAAGCATAGATTTCTGGGGGAACACTTGCATCAGTTCTCTTCTCCCAATGAAAACACACATACATTTAAAGGTGTTATGTCCCCAAGCAAAACACACAAAACAGGACGGATGAGTAAATCGTGCCGACGTGTGTTGAGGGATCACATTAAATAAGAAAAACGGATCCATAAGAGAATAAATATCTGGAAGAATGCATGCTGCACTATATGTCATATACCATTATGATTTCAATTCTCACCACAGTTTTGTGGTTTTCTTTACACAAACACATTTTTGCCATTAACTCATGCAGAAATTGGTCAAATTTGGGCCTAACATTCGCCAGAATGCAGAAAATTAAATGTTTGATGTTGTAATTTTTTCTAGTGGATGTCATCTATTTAATGTGTGTTCAAATGAAACCTATGCTCATGTCAAGTTTAAGTGTTTTACAGAGGTTTTGGTTGGAAGAATGACCTCTGTTTAACCTCATTGCCTTATTCAGGAGTGATGTTCAGTACCACCGATTTCCTTTCCAATCTGACATTGAGTAGAATGCAGGCTGGTGTCTGTCCATATTCTACACTGGTATCAGCGATACCAATCTGTTACTGATACTTTGTGCAAATACACCTATTGTGTCTGGCAAATCTAAAAAAAAAGTAGTGTATTACATATTACACATGACATAGCTTCATCATTATACAAGACATCAGAGTAATTTATTCATTTATTTATTTTAAACTCAGAAGTATATAGAGGTAGCGACCTCATTTACAATAAAGCCAAGCTAACACAACAACAGAAAACCCAAACAGAGGACATGTATAATAAATGCCACAATAGTCGCACACGTTTGTCAATACCAACATTTTCAAATATTCATTTAACAGTTAAAGCAAATTAGACTGATTGTAAATAATAATAGATATGTTTTAGAGATAAAATGGTATATATTCTTCTTAGTTCACCATGGCTATTCTATCGCAATTGCTCTGTATAATTTAGTGACACCTCGTCTATGTAATCCACTTTAAATGATCAATTCTTTAGGAAACCTCACCTGAATAAATCTAGGCTTTTTTTTGCCTATGTGAGATTATCTCAGTGATACACATATTCTTACTCCAAGTTGAACCCGTGCGACTATTTGTTGAAGCATGTCTTTATTCCGTTACTTATTTCATAACCATATTTATTCATTTGAACAACTCCAACAGTTCTTAACGCTGCTTAAAGCTCCACATGTCCTCTCTCTGTACCTGGACCGTGCTGTCTGCAGCGGAAGAAAAAGTAGTTTCCACCAACGGCGTGTCATGTAGACAAGATCTCAGTACTTACTTTCCAGTGTGCTCCTGGTAATGATATACATTACCTCAAATGAGTATCAAAAGTGTCCATATTTTGATTTGAGAATCGATTTTAGAGCATAAAGATCTGTTATCGGAAGCATCGATATTTCACTATCAATCCACACATCATTGTTATTCAGTGAGGTATTCCTGTTATTTAGCTTACCCTGATAAAAAACAACAACAACAAAACTGCAGTTTTTATAGGAAAACTGAATAATCTAACCTGATGATGTATAATTGCATTTTTAGTCACTTTGAGGCTCATGTGGTACCACTTTCCATTTATACTGAGATTAACAGGTCGTTAAATGAGTAATTTTATTTGATTGGGCTTCTGGGTGTCACATTTTATCCCTACATGGGGGTAAAAGGGATTTGTTTATTGAAGCCTCGTCACGGAAACCCTACATGATAATGAAACCACCGTTAATGGTAAAGATGTCCGCACATGCGCAGCGCTGCCGACGCGCGGCGCTGTTTTGCGCTGCGCAAACCCGCAGCAGGCCCCGTCCTGTCCGCCTGTCTGTCTCTCCGTCTTCTATCCTGTCTGTCTCCAAGTCTCTCTTTCTTTCCTACCAAACCCCTCCTGCCAAGATCGAGGCAGAAAAGGCAAAAAAAAAAAAAAGCAGCATCAGAAATCCTCCGTGTTTCTTCCTCTGAAAAAGGAAAGTGAGCAGCTGATATTCAAGAGAGTGTGTCTGGCTGCAGAAAATATCCACGCTCGTGTTTTTTTCCCCTCTCTGTGGGCTCAACAATGACCCCATCGAGCTCCGTGCCGCTGTTCTTTCACTTCATTAATGAATCCACCCAGTGTTTTCCGGAGGAGCTTTGCAGTTTTGCGGCCATGTCGGTTGAACGCTGTTTCCCACATCTCCGCCCGGTGCCTGCACTAATGTGTGTCTGTGCATGTGTGTGTACATGCATTGTGTTACGGGGTGGTGGGGAGGGGGGATATTTTTTACCACCTGAAACAGCCCCCATGATCGCCCTCTTTATCCTCACTGACACATCGGCTCCAAATCTGAACGCACTAAATGCTTCAAGAAAAAAAAAAACGCAGAGATCTCGCAGCTGAGCTCACCGGCCGACACAGAGCTGCAGTTGTTTTCCAGCTTTCACCCTCCGCTTTTCTCACACAACAAACCGTGTTTTTAAACCTCCCTTCACACAAAACCGGTCGACGGTTAAAGTGCATTTAGATGTTGTGTTTTCTTGCAATCAGACGTGCGTTTGGCATACACACACACACACACACACACGCACACACACATGCACTAGAGGATAAGAGTGCCTCAGTCTCCCCCCTGTCGTGGCAGAAAACGCTCATACAAGAAGACAGTGACTTTGGGAGGAACAACATGTAAAAGACAAATGTTCCTGCGTCCAGAAACACCTCCACAGCTGAGCAGAGGTGCGCTTTGTGGCTCAGTTTCTCCGTGGCTGGATGAACTTTATATCGAACATATATTAACACTTTGTGGCCTGTTTTTTTTTTTTTTTTCTTTCCTCCTCTAAAGGCTGGAGGACTCCATTTTGAAGGGACCGGGTGAGCAGCAAGAGAGAGAGAGAGACTGCACAGCAACTCGTCTCAGGGAAGGAAACCCATCTGTTTTTTTCCGGGTACCAGCATTTCACTGCTTCTCAGACGTGGTAGTGGACATTTTTTTGAATTATTATCGTCCAGGCGCTGCTCTTGCCCACCCCCCTCCACACACACACTGTGCGTCTCGGTGGGGGAGGAAGGAGGATGATGCCAGTTGTTGGCACAAGTTTGGCATGTGACATGTCAGTGGTGATGGCAGCTTTGGGGAATAATTGATGCTTGTAATTAAGCAGAAGGGCGGGGCGTTTTATTTGGAGGTGTCGTGTGGTCATCCGGTGCGTTTTTGTGGTGGCTGTCAGCTCCAAATTTTTTTTTTATATTCTTAAAGAGAGATCCACGGCCCCCTCTGTGGTGGACGCAGTGGTGACGCCTGGCAGTGCGCACAGCACAGAAAAGAGACTTTTTTTTCTTCTTTCAAGGGGCAGGCAAGAGTGTGCAGGCGGGAAACAGGCGTGCAACAGAGCAAACACGCACAGACGGGGAATTATAAAGTTGTAGTGATCACAAAGCAGGAGGGGGAGTGTCGTTGGAGGAGCACAACACGCCTGGATTTCTATTCCAGGGGCCGCTGGACCAGGCTTTTAGCGCATGTAGAGAGCAGGGAGGGAGGGAGGAGGAGGAGGAGGGAGGCGGTGGTGGAGGTGGAGGGGGGGAGAGAGTGAGTACGTTTCACAGGATCCAGGCCTAGTAGTGTTGCCGCTGGGACTCTCCTCATCCGCTTTCAAAAAATTGGAAATTGGCACATTTAAACGCCAAAATGAGCAGGTTGAGGGTCATGTTTGCGGTGGGCGACACCGGAATGGTAAGATTCTCGCGACAGATCCCGTGTCATGTGGCGTTTTCTCCGTGATTTTTTGTTGTTTGATGCACACAGGCTGCATCTGTCGGAGGGAAGCCCGTGGAAGTGTGTGTGTGTGTGTCACTGTGTGTCTGCGTGTTGTGTGTCCGTGAACTTGTTGTGTGTCCTCGTCTTCTGCATGCTACGGTGGCGTTTGTGTTGCGGTCTCGTGCAGTCATTTGAAGACATAACACGCACACACATGCAGCTGCACACACCTTTACACACACACTCCCGCCTGTGCACACGCGCGTTGGACACGCGCGCGCACGCACGAGCGGGTCCATTTTAATTTTCAGCGCCGGCGTGTTTGATGTTAACATGACGCGCCGAGCCGCCGCCGCCGCTCGCTTTATTGGCTGCATTCATATATATTTATTTATATGCATGTGTGCTGAGTTTACAGGCTGACCTTAACGTTGCTTGATGTCATTTTCATCATATCGCGATAACATTCCTGAAAGGATTTACAGCCTCGGCTGCGGCGTTTGCGCAGAATCTCTCCCCAAAAATGTCACATTAGGTCGATCCGCTCGTCGCCAGTGAGTCTGTTTTTATTTTGACACCATATGAAGGCAGGTTGTGTTTGTCTGTGCGATTCTGCCGTCTAAGCTGTGCTTTTTTTCCTCTGTCACTTTTAAAAATATCTCATTACCAGCTGCCTGGGATAACTTTAGATAAGCTGCAGCGGTGCTATGACATTTTATTGAATGAAAGGAAGGTTGTAGAAACATGCTGTGGCAGAAACGTGTGATTTCTAATTGGGATTTCTTTTTTGCAGGATTGAATGTAATATTTAAAAAAATCATGTTATGACAGTGTTTATGATTTGCTGATTGTCTTCTCTTTATGCTTCAGGGAGGAACCATGCCAGCATGAGTGGGCCTTATGCAGGCCCTGGCAGGGAGACCCATCAGTCCAGCTGCCCTTTGACCCCTGGCCGTGACCTCTCCTCCCACTCCTGCCCCTCCAGACGACATGATCACAGGATCGGCCTAACCATGTCTGCAGCCGCCTCCTCCCTCAAGCATACATCCGTCTATGGGTTCACACAAAGGGACCACTCCTCCTCTTCATCGTCCTCCTCTTCCTCATACAGTCCTCTCAGGAGGCTGCAGCATCTCACCACCATGGTGAGCCAGCCGGACCTGGTGCTGCCGGTGAGGGAGCCGGAGAGGAGCTGGGACTGGGGGTCGCACAAGAAGGACAGGGACTCCTGGGCGGATCGCACTGGCAGGGATTATTCTGGCAGCCAGATTACAAGCCGAGAGGAGAGCTTCAGTGGCTCCTCTCCTGCACAGAAACCACCCGAGGTCCAAACTGGAAGTAGAGACACACCTGCAGCCAATCGAAGCAATGCCACTGCTTCAGAGAAAAAGACTGAAGGTTGTTTCTCGGGCCCGCCCAGCCCGGCCTTCTCTCTCGACAGCAACAGCCCCTTTGCCAACGGCTTGCTGCACTTTGAGTCCTCTTTATTTGAGGATGACGACAACGACGAAGAGCGAGGGACAGCGTCGCCCATCGGAGGCGTGCAGGATCAACACGAATCCAGGAATGTTCTCCAGTCCACACCCGGAAATGGAAATTTGGACTCCAAGGATGCTAACCAGTCGTCGGCCAAGGTCGTCACCCGCTCCCAGTCCTCAGGGCAGCGCAGGAGATACTGGGACGGTTCGGAGGACGAGTGGGAGAGCGGCAGCGAGCTGTTGCTGTTTGAAGATAGTCTCTCAAGGCCTTCGGTGGCAAGTTTTACCCTCATTAACTTAAGCTAGCTCTTCAGGTTCTTCTCTTTTCAGCCATGACAGCATCATGTCTACAGTTTTGTTTTTGCTGTGGACACGCAATATAGTCAAAAATGGCCCAAGAAGGACTGACTTTCACCTGGCTAGGAAATACTTCCTTAGGTTTTTTTATTGGCTTCTCAACATACAACCCAAGAGCACGAGACAGCATACTGAACACCTCACTGCCACAGACCTGTCATAGCAAAAGACTGGTCATTGTTAATATTAGGTTGACACAGACAAAGACACAGCTCTGCAAACTGTCGTTCAGTTGTTAGTCATCTAGTTGTTTCGGTTTCAAGGAAACCTCTAACTGTTAGGCGAGTTTAAGGGAGGGTCATGGAGGGAGTAATATGAAACTAAAATACTGCATGAGGTGAAAGGGGCTAGTGCATGCCGGCGGCTAACTGATTTGCCTTGCTTGTTTAGATAGTCTGCAGTTCCAGCTGCAGCAAAGGCCGCGATTTACTGCCCATGGAGATGAAGTACTCTTAAAAACCTTAGTGTTTGAGTGTTGCAATTTATGTCAGAAATCACTTTTCTGAGTGAGTTAAATGTTTATAAATCTGCTCAGAAATCATGGAAAAAATATGTAACCCTTGTAACTCCAGAACTTTCCTGATCATCATCATCATCATCTAGTCTTTAAGTTTTATTTAAATCTCAAGTAGTGCTATGGCAGTTGTCAGTACATCAGTGGGTATATTGCTAGCAGGACCCACTAATAGGTAATCAGGCATAGTTTTGATCACATATGTTTCAAAAAATTTAAACAAAGGAAAAAAAACTAAAGAAAGGGAGCTTAAACTGTAGCCTACAGCTAACTCTCTGGCCCAATCCCAGTCTTAATACTCGCGTACTTTGATGCACAATCCTGTTAAGTACATGAGGGTTTAGGGCTGTCCTACTCTCAGATCACTAGGTGTGCAAGGCCTCTATTGAAGAGTTTTCAATACTATTGTCCAACTGCAGACTTTGCTGAGGGACTTGATGTACTTCTCACCAAAACTGCTGGCCTGGTTGTCCTGCTCCCCACAAAATGCACACAAACCAAGCATTGATGGTGAAGAGAAGAAATGTGCGAAGAAGTTTATTAAGTGACAGCATCTGGCTGCACATTGTCAGTGTTATTTATTGCACATTTGTACAGTTGTGTCTACTTTCAGTCAAACATCCACATATGATTTACAGATGTTCATGGCTTCCTTGAATATTGGTAGGTTGCTAAAACAGGGAGTGCTCAACCAAGCAGCTGGTCAAACTCAAACACCTTTGTCAGTGTGGATGTGTTGTTTCCAACCATTGTGCACAAACTCACACTCAGCACTACAGTTGTGACGTCAGTTACGTTTCTAAAGGTTTACTACTTATGCATTTTAGATGGAGATTGAGATTGAGGTGCTGAATTCATACCACCATAATATACCACGTGCCAGAAGGTTGTTTCATATGTCCCAATACATTTTATGTGAAACACAGAATACTAAAATACCAGGAGGTCTTACGACATCCAGTCTCATGTTGCAGTATGTCAGACAGCATGCTTTATTGGCCCTTCTGACCCACAGTCCCCTGCGCAGTTACGTCACATATGGCGGTGTCTCGTGCAAGCATAAACAAGCTTGAACTGCTTAGCGCAGACAGATGATTTCCCATTTCCCACCACAGACTGTAACAGATACATGAGGAGGACTCAGTATTATGACAAACTATTACGTCTTAATTGTGTGCATACCGTATCAAATGGTACGCACTCTGTAAGGGCAGCTGTAGTATGTCCTGAAAGTAGAAAAGACAGTATGTGATCTGGAACACAGCCCATTATACTTCCTGTTTATATCTTCAGAAGCATTGTGGAAACTGTAGAAAATAATATACCATCAATTGAAACTTAAGGCTCTGTAAACGAATGCTTATTTATTGATACACGCTCCTGTTTTTTTTTTTTTTTTTTACATTTTTCTCTGCTTGCTTTGGAAACACAATCCAGAAATTAGCTTTTAGATACTGCTCATGAAGTGAGGTGATGCAGTCATTCTGGATTTACTTCTATGAATCTACATGTATGACCTTGTTCAGGATGATTATCTCATTGTGGGACAGGCGAGTCAAATCAGTGAGCTCACAGTACAGGTGACATGAACCCAGTAAACACAGCAGACATTTTGACTTGTTGTAGCAGGAATAACACGTGTTGCTTGTGACATTAACAGTGTGTGACAGCGAGCCAGCATTAATCTGATTATTTGCACCCATGCTGTTTGTATTGTCACATGTCAAAATGTATTTTGTGGAAAATAGTTTATAGCCTCTTAGGATGGTTTTTTGTGTAAATGTAGGTCACCAAAGAAGCAAATTTACTGGACATTTATAGACAGAAATGGCTAGATCACATTAGCACCATGTTGCATACAAATTTAGCTTCAATTTAGCTTCTTACTGCTGAAAGTCTCGTCCTCACCCCAAATAGCTACCTGCAAAAAAACTTGTGTTAAGAGGCCTGTGGTTGTTTTTGACTCACAGTGGAACCACATGTGCTAATTTTTGTTTGTTTATGGATTAAACAAACAGGATATATTGTGTTTACAGCTTTAGAAGTGCCATTAGCTGGATTTTAAAAAAAAAACTTTGGGGCAGAGCCAGGGTAGCTGTTTATGTCTGCTTTCAGTCAGTATGCTAAGCTAGGCTAATCGTGTCCTGGCTTTAGCTTCACACCCTGCAAATTATTCATGCACCCCTTTAGCAGCGTCAGGCTCAAGATGAACATAATAGATTGTTGTGTTACCTACAATACAAGTCAGCCAGAGACAGTTCAGTAATAGGATGAATAAGTGTTAATTTTAGCAACTGCTATGTCTCAGTTCTGTCCCAGTAAGCCAGAACAGTGTGACGGTGAGCTAGCATTAATTTCATTGTTTGCACCCATGCTGTGTCTATTGTCTCGTGTCTTCTGTTGAAAATAGTTTATAAAGTCTTAGTAAGGTAATTTGTGTAAATGTAGGTCACTAAAAAACACATTTATTGGACATTTATAGGAATTACAATAACACAATGGTGCTTGGTAATAATTTAGCTTCAGTTTAGCTTCCTACAGCTGAATGTGTCTCCTCACCTCAATCCACTGGCTGCAACAAAAAACTGTCTTAACATGTTAGCTGGATGCCTGTGGTTGTTTTTGATTCACAGTTAAACCACAATGCCAATTTTTTTGTTTGTTTATGGATTAAACAGACAAGATATAATGTGTTTACAGTTTTAGAAGTGCTGTTAGCTGGATTTTTAAAAAGAGCAAGGGTAGCTGTTTACCTCTGCTTTCAGTCAGCATGCTAAGCTAAGCTAGTCATCTCACAGCTTTAACTTTGTTCCCTGCAAATTAGCAATGTACTCCTTGAACCATGTAAGGGGAGTAATTTGTGTATATGTAGGTCACCAAGGAAGCAAACGTATTGGACATTTATAAGAATTGATGGCAAGCTCACAAGAACACAATGGTGCTTATTAATATCGCTTCAATTTAGCATCCTCACCTCAGATAGCTCGCTGCCAAAAACCTGTGTTAAGAAATTAGCTGGAGGCCTGTGGTTGTTGTTGACTCACAGCAAAACCATAACTTGTCATTTTTGTTTTTTATGGATTAAACAAAGAAGATATAATGTGTTTACAGTTTTTAAAGTGCCCTTAGCTGAATTATATTTCAACTTTGGGGCAGAGCCAGGCTCGCGGTTTACCCCTGCTTTCAGTCAGTATGCTAAGCTAGGCTAATCATGTCTTGGCATTAGTTTCATACCCTGCAAATTAGCATTGCACTTCTTTAACAGTGTTGGCTCTCAAGATGAGCATTACTGATGGCATGTTACCCACAAAACATGTCAACCACAGGCAGTTACGCGATAGGATAATAAGCACAAGTGTTAATTTTAACACCAGCAGTAAACCCCAGCAGTGTGCTGGTGAGCCACCAATAATTTTATTGTTTGCACTTATGGTGTTCCTATTGTGATTAAAATAGCTTGTGAATATCAGTTTCATCGAGTCTTAGAAAGGTCATTCATGTCAATACAGGGAAGCAATGAGCAGTTTGTTGGACATTTATAGGCATTGATAATAAGCTCACAAGAACACCGTGTTCTTCAGCTACCTGGGAGAAGTCTGTGGTAAGCGGTGGTTTCGACATCTGTCATGGTAAACCATCCATTTTATTATGTTTTGGCGTGTTTACAAAAGCGTGAAGGTGTAAAGTAAAAGCTGTGAGAATATAAAGTCACTTACTACTGTCATTCCTCTACACCCCTCACAACCAGATGGTCTCCTAGCTCTACAGGACAGGAAAGTTTTATTCAGTGCCTACATAGAAACTAGGTAACAAGTACTTCTTGAGCTAAAAATCTGCATATTCCTTCCCCCTCACTGCCTACTTCAAGGTGAAACATTTTAAAAACCGCAACCATCTTGCAGTCCGTAAGCTTTATTTACTTTTTAGAGCTGCTTCTGCTAACTCTAAAATGTCTCAGCCACGAGCAAAGCACATCAAATGTTCTGCTGTTGGCTGCAAGAGTGAACACAAGCGTCTTAATGCACTCCTAGCATCTGAGGAACTCAAAACCCAGTGGATTACTTTCTTTTTAATGGCGATATCATCACATCATTAGACAAATCCTTGGTGATGGTGCATTGTGCTGCTAATGTGGCTAATGTTAAAACTTTCATTTGAAGCTAATCAAGTGCATTACTGTGTTTTTATGTATGTTGTGCTTCAGCTCTTAACTCAGCTGCTGTTTGCATCCGTTAGCTTCTCTTCTGCTGTCTGTGCTCACATACACTGCATTTAATATGGCTGAATTCCCAATAAAGCTTTTCTCATTTGCATATTTTTCAGTTTCTGTTGTCAGACGACAGAGTAAGTATTAAATAGTGGCTGCAACATTGCTCTTCAACATAAGTTTAAAACAGTTGTCCTCTGAGTTTGGCAATATTTCAATCTAAAATTATCATTTAGAGAGAAAGTTAGAACCAGGTCCTGGTATCACACGCTCATTTGTGTCGATTTCAGCTGTCATGTGGTCTGTTTTACTTAACCCTGTCAGTCACGGACGGAGAGAGAGTCTTTTTCCTGAAGGGGGCAAGGACAACAGTAGTTTAGCTGCATTTAAAGCTACAGACACTGAAACAGCTCATTTAGAACAGTACTAAAAGCAGCGATTATACAGTCATGGTGAAACGAACCATTTTTGCAGTGTTTTCGAGCTGAAAAATTAGAAGACACATTCTAGAAACATCTGAGACTTTGATTAATTTGCTGAAAAGGGCCACAAAATGGGACCTTTCATTCATACCGCCCACACGTCCACATGTAGATGTAGAACTGCAAGGAGGCAATTAGCATTTTATTAGACATTCACAGGCATTGATGGCAAGCTCACAAGAACAGCATGTTAGTCACAAATCCAGTTCAGCCTCCTGTAGGTCTTCCTGACCTCAAACAGCTACCTGGGAAGAACCTGACTTGTTTTTAATTCACAGTAAAACCACAACCTCTTATTGTTACGTTTTTGTTTGTTTATTCTACACAAAAAAGATATTGTGTGTTTATGACTTTAGATGTGCTAGTTTTTAAGCTTTGGGCAGGGCCAATTAAGCTTCTCCCCCTTTGCTTTCAGTCTTTTTCTTAAGCTTGGCTAATCGTCACCTGGCTTTAGCATTGCGCTTCTGTAACACTGTCGAGCTTATGATAAACATAATAGATGGGATTTCTTTCTCAATACACCTCAATCACAGACAACTCAGTAAGAGATTAATGTGTGTTGCAATAGTTGCGGCTAATGTAGCCTCAAGCCAGCTAGATCTGATACTTTCACGTCTTCATAACTAAGCCGGTTGTCTTCGGCAGTAACCGTTTATGTGATCACGCAGCTTCTCTTGAGCCACTAAAAGGCTTTTATACAATCTTTTCCACATCTGCCGTTGTGCTTCCCAAGACCTGTTGACAGACTTTGATCTTAATCAGCATCGGTTTCCTTCACACGAGTGCCATTCATTTTAATATATAGCTCTTCAATAAAGCAAATAAGTGTACTTTCCAAAGTGTTGAACGATTCCTTTAAAATGCCCAGGCTGGGTTACCTCATAGCAGCAGCCAGCGTCGGCCCTCTGGCCAGTCCGGATACATGCCAGGCATAACTCAGGCCTGCTCATGTAGCTGCCGCTCCACGCAGCCTCCTCCCATCTACACAGAGTGTAGTAGCCACTAGTGCTTTTAGATTGTGATATTTGTGTGCTGTGGCTTTGTCTTGTGGTTGAAACCTGCCGTTGAACAAGAGACAGCAAACTAAAATGTAACTGCAGGAAAAGTCAGAAGAGCTCATTGTTGGTCACAAACCTTCAACCCATAATGTAAAAAGTAGTGAACCCTCTTTTTATGCAGTTGTGTTACAGAACTTGACATTCTCATTTTGTCTGCTTATTTATCCTTTTTGAACTGTTCAATTGAGTGAATTTTTTTATTTTTTTAATCATCATAGTTGTTTTCTTCATTGTCCTGTTTTTAGCAGCAGAACAGTGTCAAGAAAAAGTCGCTGCCGCCTGTGAAGTTTGTAGAGGGAGAAGTTGTTTGGGCAAAGTTCAACCGGAGACCTTGGTGGCCCTGTGAGGTGACTGTTGACCCCGTACAGGGAATCTACCACAGAGTGAAAGGTGGGCCCGAAACACTGTTGACTCACTGTGATAAACTAGACCAATGCGCTGTAGATGAGTAACCTTTAATTGTGTGATGTGTTCTATGGATTGTTTTGGTCGCCAGTTAATTGACAACAGAGCTGCAGCTAATGATTATTTTCATTGTCAGTTATTTTCTAGATTCATTGAGTATTTGTTTGCTCTATAAAATGTCAGGAAATGGTGACAAATGTCGAGGAGTTTTTCAGAGACTAGAAACTATTCACAGTTAAACTGTATCATCAGTTAACAAAACTGTAGGTAATAAATTTAATATTTGATAACTAATTGATGAATTGTCGCCGCTCTAACCGGCTTGTATGATGAATGGTGATTAACAAAACTTCAAAAAGGGGATGTTGACATAATAAATTTTGACATTTGCTGAAAAATACATATAGAAATGTATGTCAAGTTTTTACCCGTGCATTTTTCTGTTTCTACTGTCTTAAAAATCATACATATATAATTAAGAACTAGGAACAGGACTAAAGCATTTATTTGGTAGTTTATACCAGAACCGTTGATTGGGCTGAATGATTTGAAGCAGTTATCTGATTGCTATTTTTCTGACAGGTATTCGTTTCAGTTTTCACTGTGTAATAGATTTTAAAATGAATGTGATGGAGCATTGTAACATGAGATGCTATCAACCATGACTGCCACACACTGAGGACGGCAGTAATTTGTAAAACTATGAACACAACAGTTTTGATCCTGGGTCAGATTTGCTGTAAAGTCATCATTTTGCGTGTGTGGCTATTAAATACAGAGACGAGTTCATGTCAGCTGAACCATCCCGGCATGTTGAGCAGCATAAACAACCTTTGAAAGTTGCAATCCACTCTAATTAAATAAAATTAAATTCCAGAATTAGTCTTATTATTCAATAGCCAGACATTGTACAGCCTTTACAATTTGCTAATTTCACACAAAAATAAATGTTTTTCAGCATCTAACGTTATCTAATGCCACATCTTAACAGACTGAATAGTAAAGAGAATAACATACTAAGTTATAAGCTCACATTATGCTGATGTTAGCCTTAACAAGTCCATGCTAATGTTTCTGCACGTTGTGAAGAAAGCACTGCTCCAACAGATGCAGCTGTTGTAGGACCTTTAAGCAATTCCCAAACAATAACTAATATTTCAGGATCTAAAGTAATTTTCAAGAGTCTTTAAAGTGCTTTGATAAGTTTGAGGTGTTTCCTCTTTTCTTTCCAAATGCTCTCTGACATTGTTTGCATTCTGACTTGTGCTTGTCTCTTGTCCTTGTACCTGATTGTCAGAGTCTAACATGAAGTATCCCCATGTGCAAGTCACAGTGAACCTGTTGCTTTACTGGACGCTGCCATCCCATATGTTGTTATTGTCTCGTAGCTTCAGTAGCTAAACCATTTAGCGACTTTGACTCCAGAAAAAGAAATGCCATTACGTTTTCTGAGTCATTGGTGAGAATTATTGGTATTCTTGATGTTCCTACTAAGAACAAATTCCGTCTGGAGCCATTTCTTAGAGCTGATTATAAATCTTTTCACCATGTTGCAACATGTCATGTGAAAAATTCTCACACCAATAGTCACATTTGATTGTAGTTTTGTAAAAGGTTCAGCAGTGTTATATTAAAATCTTTCTTTACTTAGTTGTTGCACTGGAGTACCTCTTGACTTCCAACTTCCCGTACATAGTTGGAATTAGTTTGATATGAAACTCACACTAATGTTGTCTTGTTGTATCAGAGCCCAGCGACCGGCCCTGTCGACTCTACCACGTCAGGACCTTCGGGGAGCCTGTGGAGCTGGTCTGGGTGGAGGAAAAATCAACTCACGCTTTTTATGGAGGCTTTCAATTCGAACAGATCCTCCTACTGCACCGGAGGGGGAAGCAAAGGGAGCAGAACAACAAATACACCGTAACTATTGTTTTATGAATAACAAGATGATACTTGCATGCCAATCATAAAAAAGGTTGGTCTATAACATCATTGTTTTGTGGGGTATCATCTTGTTTGACAATATAAGAAACTTTGCATACAGAAATCACAAATTATTAGCTAAACTGAAATGTGTGAAGTGTTTCAGTTGTGTTTTTTTTTTGTTTGTTTTTTTAATCTTTCTGTAGATTGCGAAGCGTTTTCAGGACTCTTGGAAATCCAGTGTGGCAGAAGCTGAAGCTGTTCTCCGGGACAGAACCAAAATGGCTTCCTCCCTTTCTATTTCAATAGATGATGGTTTCCATGACAGTTCCACACTGGAGAGAGAAAACAAGGCCCATCCAACCTTTCCTCCTCCCACCTCACCTGTTCCCACCCTTCCTGAAAAATCGCACATAACTAATGGATCCTTCTCATCCCCAGCAATCTCATCCCCACTTACAACTCCAACAAAGCCAAGCACTTTAAGGAAATCTTCCGGCAAGAAGAAACAGAGTAAATCATCAAAGGACACGAATAGTAAACACTCTAAAAATCCGCTGCGCAATAGCCCTGACCAATCAGATAGAGACAATGGAGAGTGCCCGTACTCTGACCTCGACTCAGTCCCGAAGATTTTGTGTCCTAAAGCACTTGAACGTCAGCCGAAGTTAGTTCCGACTGTCACGGTTGTCAAAGAGGTGAAGAAGCAGCCAGAGATTCAGAGTGGGCTCTGGTTTAGCAAATCAGGCAAAGACAGGCGACCTAAAACAACCAGTCCAATGCCGGACCGCACTCTCTTCGGCAAGGTGCCCTGTAAGAAAAAGAACTCATCTGTTGTTAGTAAAAAGACGCTGGTTCCTTGTGCCTCTTCCTCGTCCAGTAGCGGGGCCAGTGACCAGTCAGGGTTGTCAGACAAGCATAAGCCTCTGGTACCAGCTGAAAGCAATGTGCCATCTGAACCGTCAGGACATTTGAAGTGTAAAATCGCAGCAGCTGCTAATAGGTCTTTTGGTACAAATAGCAGTACTGCTGACCAGCAGTCTCTGGTCTCTATTGAAAGTGGATGTTCAAAGGTTCGGCAGACAGTCGGAAATTCCACTGATAACGTTTCTGGCTCGTTGTCTGGTCAATTAGGTAGCTCAGATGTTAAAAAGGCCTCAGAGCCCAGCGTAGAAGTCAGTATCAGTGACCAGAGTCTGTGTTTAGAAAGCGTTAAGAGTGTCAGTCAAATTGAGCATTCTGACCTGCCAGCCACTGAAAAGGTTCATACAACTTGCAAAGAAAAAGAAAGCAGCAAAACTTCAACATCCACTCTAAAAGCTGACACTACTGACTCATTAGCAAGGCTAGAAAAGCAAAAAAGTCTCGTCTCCAAGTGTAGGCTTCCCTTTGTGAAATTAATACGCAAGGACATCAAAGATAGGAAGTTCCTAAACGCTACGGTAACTATTCGTCCCACTGAACAATCTGTATGCACAAAGAAAGAGAAAACACCAGATACGAATGCAACTAAAATATCCTCCAAACAGTTAGAGTGGACAGATGGCAAGAAAAGCACCTCCATAGTCAGTTTAGAATCCATAAAGGTCTCAGTTAAGAAGTTAAAGGCGAGTGCTGGGTCTGAGTTGCTGCATCTCTCGTCAGAATCATCACATGGAAATAATATTGTGGCTTCCACTGCGTCTGCTGATGAATCAGGTAGCCCAGAAACAGAAAGTAAACCAAATGTAAGCCCAAGCAGTGCGACTTACTCATCCTGTAACCAGTCAGATCGGTCAGAAGGTCAGAAGATTTCTGCCTCTGATCTATCAAACAACTCCTCTGACCAGCGAGGCACTTCAGAGCAAAAAATTACATCTGTCACAGCTTGTACTACAACTGCTCTGCCATCTCAGCGGCATGAGAGCTCAGTGTGTAAGAATCCTCTGGTGCCTGAAGGCCCGTCTCCTGAGAAATCCAAGAAAGTTGTCCACAAATCAAAGCAGGTTCCAGCTGAAGTGAATAAAGTCCTACTTGAGCCGCCTGCCCACCTCCCGGCCAGCAACCGGCTGATGACCAGAGCACTGAAGGCCATGCACGAGGCGGAGCAGAAGAAGCGTGAAAAGAAACGAAAGGGGGCTGAACAGAAACAACTCTTGAGTCCTTTCAGAAAATCTGAGGACCCTGTGTGGAATCCTGAAGCCAAAGTGGACTTTTGCACTAAAATAAAATCTCTGAAATCCCGATGTAAAGACAACGGTGAGTATGATCGGGACAGTTTTTCTAGCTGTAGCACCCCCACTTTGATTTTTTCTGATTCAAATGACTTTGATGTCAAGAGCGAAGACGAAGACCTCTCAATATCCTCAACTCCACCCATGGACTTCATACCCCTCACTTCTAGAGTAAAGGCAGAGAAGGAAGATCATTCCTCTGACGTGCGCGCCTCATCTTCGCCATCCTCACCGTTTTCTTTTATGAACGCTTTCAAAAATGTGGAGGAGGTCTCGTTTCAGTCCCTGACGAATGAGAGGGATGGTAAACCCATCTCTTTCAAGCCAGACGCAAACTACAAGTTCAGCACTTTCCTCATGATGCTAAAGGACTTGCATGACACTAGAGAGCGAGATGGTGCGCCCTTAGAGCTGGAGATCGGGCCACCGAGTGCACATGTGAAGGAGGAGCCTTTAGTGATGCCAGGGGAGGCTACACCTGTAGGGCAAGATCAACAAATTAAATATGTTCACAGCAATTCAATTTCAAGTCTAAACAAAAATATAATCACACACAGTAAAGTTGGCACAATTCAGACGGCCAAGAGGCCCTACAACAGGAGAGGAAGCTCCACCGGGGTGAAAAAGAAAACCAACCGCAAAGTGCCTTGTCGTCCTGCCAGGTCCGGGCCTGGTTTCCCAGGACTGGAGTCCCCGTCAGGAATGAAACCCCTGCCAGCAATGGACGCTTCATCAAGAGGTGATTGCTCGTCCAGAGTGCTGGGGTTACAGAGCAGCAGCTGGGAGAGGCAGTCTGGAGGTGGTGGAGTGGTCCGGATGGAGGAGGAGGAGAGATGGAGCAGAGTGAAGGAGAATCTACAGAACATGGTGCCTTTCGAGCAGAGGGAGTGTGACACTACGCTGGGTTTGGAGCAGCCCAACGGCCTCGTTGCAAACTGCACTAAGAGTAATTTAACGTATGGCGCTGGAGGAGGCGACAAGGCTCCAACAGGTAAGGACAGCATTGAATAGGATCTGACCAGAGTAGTGAAGCAGAATCTTGATTCACGAAATTCTACCCAAGCAGGCTGCTCTGAGGCAGTGGAGACTTAAGAGATGATTTCCAGAAATAAAAACCAACAAAAATGACTATAAATATCATAATTAGCCAAAATGAAGTAAAATAGTAGTTAAATGCTGCTTGATACACCCACACATCACCTGCGAGTCTGCTGCTCCCACATACTGGATGTTTACTCAGTACTACAATTTACACGTGGAGATTACCTTGACTGATGCATTCTGCCTCAAGGCAGCCTGTAATAAATTACTATGATATAACATTGTGGTTGCTAGGCTAATGCATTCTTTTGTATTGTCGTTAGCTCATGTTTGGATGGCATGTTGGTGTGACTGCACCACTGCACACCTTATTTGAAGGCTTCAGCCACCTTTGGGGATAGTCGAGGTAGCAAGTGTTTGTCATTGTTATTTTGTGGATCAGAGCCTCAAAAGGTTTGCCAACACCCGATCTAGGAGACACCATGCAGCAGTAAGCAGCAGTTGAATAGTTAAGCGTCCTGCAGTAGGATTCACTTTCTAGCTACACCAATATGTTGTAGACCACAGAATTCAAACTGAGGTGCACCCACAGTAAACATCTGCAATATTGACAGTTAAAATGTGTTCTCTACTCATAGAAAACTCACAAACACAATTTTGTGGTTTTACCTTGGGTAAATCTTCAATTAAAACAGTTTGCTTGAGTCTTTCCAAAGTCATTTTTGATCTAAGTGACCTACTGTGCTGCTGTAACTGAGTGGAGACTAGAGGCTTCTCTGTGCACAGCTGACCAGCAGGCGTCTATGGTAGCCTGCATGTGGGGCGTATAGGAAACATCGGTATATCATGGTGTCTATAGATAAACAGATGTACAGCAAATGAGATGTTAGTTATGCAATTTTATTTGTATTTTGCTTGTGGAGATGTGCTGAAAAGTTTGTGAATGTCTTGCATAGGGACACCATGCAGCAGTAAGCAACAATGGAATAGTTTACCATCCTGTAGCAAGGTCTACTTTTTAGTTGTCTAGTCATGTACTTAAATACTGTCTGCCACAAGATTCAAACCGAGAAGTACACACTTGGGGAGGCAGAGGAATATCCAGCTGTTGATTTTAAGACTCAACACAATCAAGTCTTAAAACTCTGACACGAGACATGTATTTTGACATGCAGTCCAACATAAACTTCCTTAAATCTCCTCAAAAATCATAAAAATTATGTCAGTTTTATATTTATAGAAGTTGCTTGAGAATTAGCTATGTGCAGTTAGTCAAATTTTGAATTCCGGCTCCCCACAATTAAATAAACACAATCAATTGCAATATTTATGTTTAAAATATAAACTTACAAAAACTCAGTTCATAGAAACAGTCCATGTAGATAAGACCATTTGATTACAACTTAAATCTGATGTTAAAACTTATTTCACTTTTTTAGAGTACTGCAGTAACTAAGAGGAGACGAGCAGCTTTTAGGCTTTTAGGGAACATCTGCAAGCCCTGGCTCCCATAGAAATGAATTGGAAAAGAAGTGATTACAGATCCCGAAATATTGCATTCCTACAGCTCAGGATTTTTAAAAAATTAGTTTTCATGGTCAAGTCCAGAGATCAGGTGGCCAATCTGAAAATAAATCAATACTGAATTTTTTAAAAAATCATCAGAATTTTGCGGGGCAGGGGGCGTGGCTGGCTTGATTGACAGTCGGCAGCGACCATACAGATGAGGCGAGCAGAAGGCGGTAAATGTGGGGGGGCAGAGAGGGCCTGCATCTGAATCCGTCTAACCAATCGCTGCTCCTATGGTTCCGCCCCCCTCCGACGATTTTTGCGTCACTGGCTCCAAAAATCCAAGATGTCAACTAGGAAGTAGTAAAACCCTGGCTTCTTTTTCTCAGTGCAGAAACCAACGGGTGACGTCACGGTAGCTACATCTATCTTTTGTACAGTCTATGCTTGGGTGCAGTTTTATTTGGATTTTGCCTCTGAGACATGCACTAAAAAGTTTTGAATGTCTAACATAGGGGACACCATGTAGCAGTAAGCAACAATGGGATAGACTTTAGCATACTGTGGCATGATCCACTTTTTAGCTGTCTAGTGATGAACTCTTTACACCACAGGATTCAAACTAAGGTGTACCCACATGGTGAGGCAAACAGTATTTAAAAAACAAACAAAAAAAAAAAAACATATAACATAATTAAGTAATTTTTAGTCGAGACGTGTCTGAGCTGCTGCACTCCAGTAACTGAGTGGGGAGACTAGAAGCTTCTCTGTGCACAGCTGCCAAGCTAGTGTCCACTGTAGCGTTTAGGGAACATCTGTAAATTATAGTGTATATTGATAAGCACATTTTCAGCCACGTTTTGTCTCTATTAGATTCACTAAATTCAGGTGAAAAAGGACCTTGTTTTAGGTCTTATTTTGGTACAAAGATGTGTACTTTAGCACAAATTTAGCACAACATGGAAGTGAAAGCAGTGATGTATTTATTTGAATGTGAAAGTGCAATAAAAAAAAAAATGTCTCTAAAATCAATGAATAGTCACGATAAATAACTGAGATCACAATAATATTCAGGACTGTTATTTTGCAGCCCTAAGAATCGTTACATTTCTAAATGTTCTTCAGCGTCATAGTAAACAGGAGCAGTTGTGTGTACATCCATAGATGCAAAAACAAGCTGCTAAAAGCTCATTTGGGGTACTTTGCCAAAATGTGAAAAGACACATGACAGAGCAGAGTGGGTTGTTCTGCTGTTGTGGTCAAACAGAAATCCTCAGTGGAATTAACCAAACTGTCGGCTTCGTTGTGTCACACGCAAAGAGTAAATGTTGGTCCCATCTGCTAAGTTGTGTTTGTACCAGTTGCCCCGTGGTCCCTTAAAACAAATATCTCATTCTTTCTAGATTAAACATTCAGCACATTACACCTCACTAGTCACTTGCATTTCAAGAATGAACAACAGCTAAGGAGCAAAAAACTAATTAACAAATCATTTGTACGTTTGAACCTCACTTAAAGGACTGAATCACCCAGTGAATCCAGTGTAAAGACAAAAGCAACCCCTTTCTCTTCGTGTTATGGTTGTATACAGATAACAGGCGACTGACTGGTGTCAGCTGGATAAATAATGGCATAAATCTGCTTGAACAACAGTTAAATTGATGTAACACACTGGATTTGATTCCAACCCTATGACAGACATGACATATCTGGTAATGGAAAAATCAGTGTTTCTGAAGGACTATTTATAGTTCAACCACAACTGCAAATCAGTGCATAATAAACTGTAGGTATCCATAGCAACAGTACTTTCTTCTGTTGCTATTTTTCTCACTAAATCTCACCTCTGAAACTGTTGTTGGATTAAACTTATTACAGATAAACTTTAATAAAAATGCTGACAGTTTGAAAGCTTCCCTTTTTGAAGTATAAGTCTGATAATACTGTAACAAGTATACTGACATCACTTTACGTTTTACAAAGGATAGCAGCTTTTCCTGTTTCTTTCTCAGCACATAAACGAATAAGAAAACCAAGCAAGAGGCTGATTGAATGGACTGAAGAGTACGACCAGATTTTCTCCACGAGGAAGAAAACCAAAAAGCCTCTCCAGTCGATTGGAAAGGTAAAACTCATACAAAGTAAGCTCTGCTGTAGTTCTGCAATTATATCTCGTCGTACGTGCATAGTACTCTATGCCATTAAGCAGCCAATAGAACTTTGTGTAGCTGCACTTGATACTCATTCAGTTTGTTCTGTCAGGCCACCCAACCCATTACCTCCACGTCTGAGTCCTCGGGGACGGACAAGAACACGCACGACCATCCGTCCTTGAATTTACTTCCTGAAATACAGACGCCGCCTCCTGAGGAAATCGCTGCTCCAACGCCAGCGGAACTACAAATTCCCAGCACTGAAAACACATCTCCCCAAGATGCACCTGTTCTCTCCATCGACACATTAACGCCTCCCCCTGAAGCTGAACCTTCGCTGTCAGATGGCCTCGTCAAAGGCAACGGTGAGTTTGCGTGCCTCTGTTCGGGTTCTTGGAGGGGTTTTTTTTCCCCTGTCACATTTTTACTCACTGTGGGCTGCAATATAAAGCCCTGCACCTCTATGGAAACAGCACAACCATGACTATAAGAGGAGAGAACTGTGGTCTGTCTTGTGAAGCATTACAAAGTTAGAATGCCATAAATCAGAGAAAAAGAACATTTATTTTACTGTACAAATATGGAATCAATACAACATTTTTCTAAGTGTCCATAGTTGTTATCAACACTGGAAAGAAGACAGTGACTCTACATGGTATAGATATTTTGCTACTTACACTTTTTATGTGTTTCCAGACTTGTGTCCTATCAGGCCAGTGCCTTTGTGTCAGTGCACAGCCTGAAAAGTCCCTACATTTTTGTCTTATGACTCCAAAAAGTTAATAATTGTTTCATGGTTTGTGCCAAGGAGTGCAGAGTTTCCCTTTTTTACATAATCTGATTTGTACAGTTTATTATTGGAAAATTATTAAATGAGACAAGTAAAAATAGTTTCAGTGAAATTTCACTGTTTCAAGCTTAGATTTGGTTAATTTTCCAGACAAAGCTGAAAGTCACACTGTCAAAATGTTGAAAACACAACGATTCTTACTGTTACTAGGTTTTGCCTTTGATGAATGATATCATTTTGTCGATTTTTTTTTTTGTGTGCTTTCCAACCCATTGGCGGGCTTTAAGATTCAGTGGGTTAACGTAACCGCATTCAGAATCACACAAAACAGGGCAAAGTAAAGTCTTCCCGGTAAATATCACTACACCTCATGGCCAGAAGTATGTGAGCACCAGAATAAAGCTTGCACCCGATTATGACGCACATGTGACTGTTAAACAAGCCAGTCCATAACCTTTGGGCATTAATATCCTGTGGTAACATCAGCTAAACGCTATTGTGAGGCTGGCCATTGATGTAAGGTGATACAGCCTGGATCACAGTCAGCATTCAAGCTTGTCCCAAAGCAGGTCAGGCCTCTGTAGAGCCCTGATTGTGTGCACAAGGGGCATGAACGCACTGAAACAACAAAGGGCCTTCTACAAACTACAAACTGCTGCCACAGTGTTGGAAGATTTTCCGGCACCGGAACAGGAAACAATGAACAATTTTCTGAAACTCATTTCACTTTCTGTGTCGTATTATTATCCACAGTGTCTGACAATAGGACGATTTTGATGTTAAGGGTATATATATATATATATATATGACAGCAGCAGAAATCACAAACTGCTCCTAATATATTGTACAGTTCTGATTGTTGTTTTGATTGGAAAATGTCATTTCATTTTTATGCATTCAAAAACAGCCATCTTTGTTCAAACAATAACTACACCAGTTAGCTCTTTTAACATATTTTACCAAAAAAAAGGCCCAAAAGTTGTTTTTTTTGGCCTTTGTTGGATAGTGTTAGTGAGAGAGTGGCAGGAAGGTAGGGGAGGACATGTGGGAAAGGGTCATGAGCGGGATTTGAACCCATGACCTCCACACTGGGACTGTAGCCCTGTACATTGGACGCCAGCTCAACCAGGTGAGCTATAGCGGTGCCCCAAAAGGCCCAAAAGTTTGCCATCATTTTGATTGTTGGATCCATATGGTGAAAACGGTGTGCAGCACACAGCGAGCCACCAGTTATAGAGTAAAAAAACGACATTGTTTATTATGTAGTTGGAATCAGGTGGTTTTGTGATTTGAAATGATGTGTAATTAGGTTCAGAATAAAATGCAACAATGAACAATTTGATGGTGTAAGTTTAAAACAAGTGACCACAGTTTGAACTAAAACTACTCAGGTCCTTTTGAACCACAAGATGAAGGTGGTGGACTCATCTTAGTTGAACTGTAATTTCCAGCAGATGCACTATTAAACAAATTAAGCGTTTCCAGATTGTTAATCCAGCCTCGTGTGCAAAGTCTCTAAAACCACTGAGTTGGACTGTTTATAACAAACGTCGCTGAAGCTTTTTATGTTTGGTGCTGACCCGACTGTGACGTTCGGTTAACAGGAAGTGCTCCTGTGCTGGAGAAGAAGCGTAAGAGGAAACCCACCCAGAAGATCCTGGAGTACTGCCTGGAGGCCGAGGCGTCAACGGGCCCCAAGAAGAAGGTACAACACAGACGTCTGTTGTGTGTACATTAGCTCATGTGATGTCACGTGTGTGTGTATTTATACTGTGAAGGACCAGTTCAGACTTGTACAGTCCAGCTCCATTCACATCAGAAGCTCTAATGAATCCAGTCTGTGAAGCTCAGAGTGTTCAGTCGAGGCCGCTGCTCCGACAGACTGTCTGTCTGCTCAGTTCTACAGTTTATAGATGGAAACGATGTCATGATTGTCAGGTTATCGTGTTTGTTTTGTGTTGTCTTCAGGCTTGTGTTTGGATCAGCGACATTTACATCATTCAGCCACGTCCAGGGACAGAGGGGGTCGTATTTTTATTGTCACGGGTTGAAAAGTTGTGGGAATCAGTCATCCTAGAAATGAACAAACGACTCATCACGTGTAGTTTGCAGCTCTTTCTTCTTGAAAAGCTCTTAACGCCCTTCTACTGTAGTGTCATTTTAAGTTCCAGTGTTTTCATCAAGCACCTCTTAAACCTACGAAGGTTAGTGAGATGGATTTATGATCCTTTAGCCTTAAGATGTTTTTGAGGAAGGGATATCGGAAGTGTCTGGATGTAAAAGATGAACAAAAGAAAATACTGCAGCTTTGAGCAAACAGGGAAACCAAACCAAAAAAAACAAAAACACTTTCAGGAGGTCGTTTATCGTTGTTTCTTGATGTTTATTTATCTCTTCGATGTGCGCTAGTCTCTAAATTTATCTTGAACGTCATATTTCTTCTCCTTTGCTTTTGAATTGATTTGAACTGCTTTTAATTCTTTGAAGCAAAAGTTAGATTTTTGGATTTATGTTCTTTCCTGGACAGACCAACACAATATCACAAACGGAGATGGTTTCTGTCAGGTCAACGTGAATATTTTCTGATAATGTTTCTCTTTGTCACAGGTCAAAACACTGAAGAACAGTTCAAATCCTGCTCCTCAATCTGGTCAGTGAATCAACTTACAGCTGTGTACATCACACTACAGTGTATATATCATGATGTTAGTCACTGCTTTTTTCATTGCACAAGTTTTTAGACTGTAATGTAACTTGGATGTTAATGTAGTTAAATTGTATAAAGTGCAACTGAACCCATTTTTCTTCCAGTTGAATCGCAGGAGTTTGTGCATTAAAGAATTGTGATTCAAAATGAATTAAAATGGAGAATTACTTGCATCTCACTGGCGTTCTTTGGTTTTCCGTCTTCTCTGTGGTGACTGCTTCTAACACGGTTTTCTTACTCCTAGATTCTGCAGCACCACCTTTAAAAATAAAGAATAAAGCACTCACAGCCTCCACACCGACTACAGTCTCTGAGCTTTCCACCAGTTCACCCACAGCCACCATTCAGACGGATCACAGCACTCCGGCACCCGCCAGCGGACCGCCAGCTTCACCTGAACCCAGCCAGGTGGAGACGGTACCAGTAGACGATGGGGCTCCTCAACCGGACGACAGTAAAACTGAGGAGGTGAAAAAGGACTCAGCAGAGTCAGAGGTCAGACATCTTTACTTTTTACACACAACTGTTGTTCTCCTGTTCGTGATTTATCACTATCCAACATTTCATTTGTCTCTGAAGGGTGAACCGTCCAGCCTGGACCACAGTTTCTCCTCCATGAAGGACGAGTTGTCGCTGTGTGATGACACACTTTTACCCGCGAGGAAGATCATCGGCGACCGAGGAGGTCCAGCCTCCATGAAGGAGAACATATGTCAGGTGAGTTTTTCACAATTTACTGATGGAAAGAGAGTATTAGAGCTGCATCCAGAAGGTTTTTTAATCATCGCAGCGATGGAGTTTTGAAGAGTGGTGACACTCTGGGTTTATTTTATAGTTCAGTCCTTGTGAGAACTTGTCTCTGATGTTTGGCACTGAGCATGTTGTTAATGGAGAATCAGCTGTTTTGTGATGGATGGATTTCTTCAGAAAGATTATCCTGTCATTTTGCGACACAACAGATCATAAAGCTGCCAGTCTAGATTGTATCATAGCTTTTGTTTCACAGTTTAGATCATTTTTTGGATCATTTTGGATCATCAAAACCAAAAGGGAGACACAAAAGCTGCCATAAGTGTCCCTGTCAAGTTTTAAGTTTTAAGATGCTCTGTTCAGGTGAACACAAAACTGCTTTATATCTTGTCAGTGCAACTCAGTGTAAGGATTTAGGGAATTATTCCCTGTAGGGGAGGAGGTATGTTTTCCTAATAATAATAACACATTTATTTATATAGCACCTTTTGGAGTTTCCAAAGTGCTTTACAGAGAGGCCAAAAAAGGAAGATACTCAGGAAGACCATTAAACAGAGAAAGGCTAAACAGAAAGGAAGACAAACCAGACAAGCAATAGGTGGAGAAAAACAGTTAAACACAATAAAAGATACAAAACCCAACATATAGAATCTAAATATAAATAAATCACTACAACAAGCACCATAAACATAAATAAAAATAATAATAAAAGAACCAAAAAATGCCATATGACATTCAAGAAAAGCAATAAATAGAATATAAGAAAATAGAAAGAAAAATATGGCGAAGTAATAATATTGTAAAGTCATAAAAACAAGGGTCACATTTTTAAAAAACACTAATAATAATTAGAAAAAGTTTACAGTGCCTCTTGTCTGTTTTAATGTCTGTACCCAGGTTTATGTAGAAATTACCAGGCACAGGTGCAAATCATTTTCTTTAAAACTGTGAAGTTTACAGTGTGAAACACGGTAAAAGATACAACATGCAAGATACAGAATTTCAGTATAAATAAATCAAATAAATGGCAACACGTTTTAAAAGCACCAAAAATACCATGTCACATTAAAGAAAAAGAACAAATAGAACGGAATAAATTGAAAGACAAATATGGTAAAACCATAAAAACATAACAATGTTGTATTTTCTTTTAAAATAAAATATCTGCTTTTTTCTCTAAGCAGGTTAATGCAAAACTTGACAGGCACAGATGTGGATAATTTTGTTTAAAATTGTGAGATAAAACATTGGCCTTGTTGAAGGACTGTGGTCTCCAAGTGTCCTTCTGGTCACTTTAAATAAGAACAGCAGCAGTAAAACTGTCTTTCACTCCATGATAGTTAAAACTTTTTAAATTAATCTGCAGTTCACATGTACGAGGATCCGTACGTGGATCAACTACAGTTTGTTACTCGCCTGCTGTCACTACTTCACCAACCACTAATGTGCTGAAATAACAAAGAAACACTTGTGAGAAAATAGCTACTTACTGCAAGAGTCTGCTCTTGATTCAAACAGCGTTTTATTGCAGAGAGTGTTGAAACCAATACAGCGTCCTTGTTCAGGAGCACAATGGAGGGCAGCTGGCTTCAGAGCATCAGTGTTGCACAGTTAATTGTTCATATTCAGTTTCTGTGCTGCGGCAGCATAACATGAACCCTGAAATGGGAAATTGATCCTTTTCACATCGTTACATGTCTTCCTGGCTCTATTATTTCTCATTAAGACAAAAACTGAACACATCAAGAGTCTGTGCAGCCACTTGGTCATGTAATGATCAATGATTAAACATGTAACAGGGCTCATCTGGACATGTGGCGGCTTGTTTTTATGCTTTTATGGCCAAGACCTGCTTTCGTATTGTGTTGTGTGCCTATGTATTTAACTGTTGTGTGAATCTGTGTCAGATTAGATCAGTAATTTTCAACAGCGAGGCTATAACTTACCGCAGGTGTTATCTGATCAAATCTGACATCTCCTGCCCTCCCACTACTCAGTCTGGCTGTTTGTTGTCCTGGTTTGAGCACTTAAAATTGCGACTGCACTCTATCTTCACCTCTTTTCTCAACGTAATGTAATGTTTTTAACTAAACATTTTGTTGAAAAAGTAGGTTTTAGTGCAACATAGCACCATGCATAAGGTTTGTAGTAAAGCGAGACAAACTGGGAGATGAAACTAATTTTCTGTCATGTAGAAAATAGCTTTATTATGTAATGTAACATGTGTTCTGCTTATTTGGTACATGTTTGATTTCCAGTCTTCGTCTTTTTTTGGTCCCTCATTTCTACGCTCTCTCCATCAAACCACACAAGAAATGGGAAATCTGCTTTGAATCCCTCGTTGTATTTTACGTCTGAAAGCATCTTGTATTTTTGTCTCAGGTGTGTGAGAAGACGGGGGAGCTGCTGCTCTGTGAGGGTCAGTGTTGTGGAGCTTTCCACCTGGCCTGCATCTCTCTGGCCGAGGCGCCGAAGGGGAAGTTTGTCTGTCCAGAGTGCAAATCAGGTGCGTCTGAATTCCACAGCTACTGAAGAATACGTGTATTGTTGTCAATATGGACAACAGTCTGGGTTATGCTCATTTAGATTTTCTATTTTAAACTCCAACCACAGAACTAAAGATAGTTTTACAGACAAAGGTGTCTCTCTTAAACTCCAACTGTGAAATATCAAACAGATTTTCATTATTTTGTAGAGACTTTATTTCAGTCCTTAATCAGGTCAACAAAACTGGTTCCAGCATCATTTAACTGTCAACAAAAATCTCAATTCAGGAGTTTTTGCTTTAAACATAAGTTGTTACTTAAAAAAAATGTAAAAAAATCACCTTTTATTAATATGTTTTTAATGTTTTAGCAATTGTTTGTGTGTGAGAATCGTAAGACTGACAAATCAGGAGCAAACATTGTTTTAATTTGCCAATTTTAAGGTAGAAAATAAACAAAGTGACACATGTTAAGTTAGTATTTATTTAATAAAGACAAAAATACATTCATGTAATTTAATTTATTCTTGAAGTGGAAAATCTCCTGATAAACACATCCTCATCTTTTGAGCAGTGAACTAAAGTCCACAACAGGAAAGTATAAATAAGTGATATTCAGGCGTTCAGAATGAAAGCATTTGGGCTTGAGCTGCATAAAGAGAAAAAACCAACCGTCAGTGTGAGCACATAATTATTCTTATTGTTGGTATTTTATGTTGTTAGAGGGCTGAATGAAGGAGTTAATGGTTTGTCATCCTTTAAGAATATTTAAAGAAATGTGAAATCGATATAACACTGAATGATAATCCATCTGATAAGTGATGATTTATACTAATAATGTCAAACCTCTGCTGTGTTCAGGCGTCCACACCTGCTTTGTGTGTAAAAAGCGCAGTGAGGATGTGCGGCGCTGCATGATTCCTGTCTGTGGGAAGTTCTATCACGGAGAGTGCATCGCCAACTACGCTCCGACTGCGCCGGTGAACCGAGGCTTCCGCTGCTCGATCCACGTCTGCCTCACCTGCTTCATCGCCAACCCCAACGGCTCCAACATCTCTAAAGGTGAACAGAGGACGCTTGGGGAAACACCTGCCCCGTAGTTACCTGTGTGGTCTGACTTTTCGTTTGTCTGCAGGTCGTCTGGTTCGGTGTGTGCGCTGCCCGGTAGCTTACCACGCCACAGACCTCTGCATGGCAGCCGGCAGCGTCGTGCTCTCCAACAACAGCATCATCTGTCCAAACCATTTCACCCCTCGACGCGGCGTCAAGAACCACGAGCACGTCAACGTCAGCTGGTGCTTCGTCTGCACCGAAGGTACTGGATCCAGTTTAGTTAAACTCCAAACTTTTTCTTTTTTTTTTTAGCTGGAGGTAGTGAAGTCTGACTGACTTGCTTTCATCCGAGATTAAGATTTTATTTTCCCATTTGTATATGACATTTATTGTATGAAAATCCATCCATCAGTTAGACATTCCCACTTTATCGGTCGCGGGTGGCTGCAGCCTCTCCTAGCTGGCATCGGACCAGAGACAGGGTCCTGGACAACATTAAATAATAATGTAAAAAGGCTGAATAGTAACATAAAAAAGACAGCTGATGGATAGCACCCTCGGTTTTCTCTTGAGCCAAAATTTTTATACAATTCTGGAACACTGTAAAGTCTGAGGACAAACTGTTACAAAGTGGGTACGACGGGTTCAGTACTGTTTGTTAGGATCTAATTTTCTAAGCAAAACTGAGCGTTTTAGTGTTGAGTTGCTTCTTCATTATTTGATTTTTCTGCCTATGACAGGAAAGAGCTGCAGTAAGTTGAAACAAACATTGCATGTAGTTTTCACAGCTAATGAGCTAGAAAGCAGTTACTCATTCAGGCAACCTGTGTGGACATTAGCAGTAATTTGGAGTCTTGCTGTCACTGTGTAATACTCACTCTTCTTTTAGCTAAAGTTTGATCTTGACTCAGAAGCTGCTAAATGTTTCACTTTTCTATTTTTTTAACTGTTGAAAAAATTCCTAAGTTAGTTGTTTGGCCCAAATTCCCAAACACTCCTGAGATGATTCTAGTCCACGGTACAGGATCCTGTAGCTCAGTTCTGTAAAAAGCACCACAAAGTCCAAAACGGAGCAGAATCAAATAATCTCCAATTAGGACTGAGTTGAAATATGAAAAAGAAAAGCAAAACATACAGACTGCTTTTCAATGTAAAATACTTGGTCACAAATATGGAGAAAAACGTTCTTTTTGTGGAACTTTCAGAACTGATTGAGTAGGTATGACAAGTTGTGCCACAACTACAAGAATATTGCGAGGTATGCAAGTCCATATTTTGAGCTATGAAGATGTTGGACAAATCAGGGATGGTTTGAGCAGAGATTGTTCTAAAAATGTGATGATTTGAGATTGAATGCTCCGATTATGGGTCTTTTTAAAGTTGAAGTTGTTAGAACTCATCACACTTTAGTCCCTCAGAGTTGTTACTCCCATTGAACTCTCTGAACTTAAAATAGTCTTTTATGAAGCAATTTCACGTGAATTTTTGCACAAAGGTACTTTTTTTGTGTTGAATACAATCATTTTTTTAAATGTCCCATTTGAAACCCAATTTTTTTTCCTGTTTGTTGATAAAACTGAAACTATATTTTAACTCTGTCTCTTATGCTGAGCAGGTGATGCCGACTGAACCTGACATTGTGTTAAAACAAAAAGACAAGCTAGAAGAGGCTCTAATAGAGTAATGAAGTGATGTCACATATAGTTTCCTAACTGAAAATGGGCTTTTAATGTTGATTTAAGTCTGAAAACTGCTGAATATAACAGTGAACGTGGCTCTCGCCAAACGTTAGCGAGCCAAAGTTGCACCCTGAACAGTGAAACCAACAGTGTTCCTGGTCCTGTGCTGCAGGTGGCAGCCTGCTGTGCTGCGAGTCCTGTCCAGCTGCGTTTCACCGCGAGTGTCTGAACATCGAGATGCCTAAAGGCAGCTGGTACTGCAACGACTGCAAGGCCGGGAAGAAACCTCGATACAAAGACATCCTCTGGGTGAAGGTCGGCCGCTACAGGTCAGGGATGAGAAACTGCTGACGGCAAACCAAGTCAAATAAGAAGTCCTCTCAGAGCCACTGTAGCACATTTCTGCAGTCTTCTGTTGTATTATTTCTTTTTAACAAGATTCTTTTCACAATATAAGATAGTTTTTTTATTTATTTTTTCTTAATCTGTGTGTTCTCTGACTTTTCTGAGGTTTGTGCTTTTGAGTGAAATGTCTCAAAAACTACTGGATTTAGTCCCATAACACATAATGTAGATAATCATGTTCCTCTCAGGATTAACTGTAATAACTCTGGTGTTTCTGACTTAACACCAGCATCAGAGCAAAATTTAAATTTGTCTACTTCAGTTCATGGCCAAGTATCTGCTGTGCTCTTTGCTCTTTGTAAAATATTTCAACTTTATTATTTGTCCCTTGAAGGGCGATTTGTTATGCAGCAGCTTACACAAGCATTCACAGTAAACAAACAATAAAAACATTAAAAAAACAAATTAAAAGGAAATGTTTTTAAAAAGTAAACACAGCCTGCAGTTCAGCCGAATAGTCCCTGAATTTTTGTCATGTGGCGATTGGATGCAGTTGAGTCACTAATTCCTCACAGAGTTGAACAATATCTTGTTTTTCACAGGATCTGGGTCAAATGCCTTATTTTTGGCAATTTTAAAGTGAGCATGGTAAAATAGGTATAAAATACCCTGATTTTAAGTGTAAAGTTCTACAATAGAACAACACGTCACAAATGAGTAGTTCAAGGACTGTCAGAAATTTGTAAATGTAATGATTGTCTATATTTTAACATTTTCATGTTTGGTGCTGGTACTTTGGGATTCAGAGGGACAAATTCTTCCTCTCCTGTTGTTCTGTTCCTTATGTGTGTGTCTTTTTTTCCCTGCTCCTTAAAGGTGGTGGCCTGCAGAGGTCAGCCATCCCAAAACAATCCCAGAAAACATCCAGCGAATGAGGCACGATGTCGGGGAGTTCCCGGTTCACTTCTTCGGCTCCAACGACTACCTGTGGACGTACCAGGCCAGAGTCTTCCCCTACATGGATGTGGACGCCAACAGCAAAGAAAAGATGGGGAAAGGTGTTGATGCAACGTACAAGAAAGGTATGGTGACTTTTAGAACAGATTCTGAGAGAAAAATTTCACTTTTAATCTATTTAATGTTGTTTTACACCATTCAGTGTCTCCACTGGTTATGATGCCTTGACATTGTTGAGTTTCTGACTATTGGTGTCGCTCCTCAGCTTTGGAGGAGGCGGCTGTGCGATTTCGTGAGCTGCAAGCAGAGAAGGAGCTTCGACAGCTTCAAGAAGACAGAAAGAACGACAGGAAGCCACCTCCATACAAACACATTAAGGTCAGGGAGAAGACTTTTGCTTCATGTCTTTGTTTGGTCCAAAATGCTTTGTTCTGCAGGTTTCCTCAAAAGTGAAGCGGTGTCTGCCGAGTTCCAATTTCGATCTTTAATTATAGCTTTAGCTTTCAAGACACATAGCTGGGTTTTTTCCCAAGGCTTATTGAAATCCATCCAAACAGGCCAGTTGGCTGCATTTAAACTGGAACATCTCCTCTGAAGAGCTGCTGTCCAGCACTGTGAGGCTGTTGTCCTCCTTTTTATTCATCGAAGTTCATTCATGTCTATTATTAAACTAAAAATCGTAAGGTGTCATATAAAAGCTGGTATTAAAATAATGGCCAATCTCTCCATCAACAGCCAGCTCATATGATGTATTTAGTGTCATGTAAATGTTACGGGATTAATTCTGTTTGTACACAACAGAGTCATTTTCAGTTTTTACAACCTGTAGCTACAGTAGCTCCTGTAAACAGCTAATATTAAAACTCTGGCACATGAAGACTACATGTCTGTGAAGATTCCTACTAGTCAGTCAGAACTGATGAAGCCTCTTGGATGAGAGGTGAAACATCTTCAAGACACTCAAGCAAGTCCAGTTGCTACGATTAAACTACGAGAATGAAGAGTGCATAAACTACATGCTTTGAATTTATCAAGATTTTAATGCAATTTAATCCAAGCAAAAGTACAATAAAACAAAGAAAGAAAGAAATGAATAATCACCCTAAAACCATCTTAAAGCTTTTTTCCATTGTAGTTTTTTAAGAAATTGAAAAAAAATGTAAACATAGCATATATATGTACACATACATATATAAGGAATTTTACTTTTGTCACTACAAACAAAAAATGTGATGTTATATTGAAAGTTAGCAACACTGTTGTTGGTCAACTATCTGTGTTACCTTTAACCAGACAATCCTGGATACCATACAGGTGTAATCCAGATGTTCTTTTGTCTGTGTTACAAAATGTACATGTATTTAAGTCCATATATTAAAGTATTAATTATGAAAAACAAATCAGAAGCATGTAGATCAGCAAAAACTTTAGAATGAACTTCTTTCATTTATTTTCTGCCTTCATTTTTAGAGTTTAAGGGAATTTAAAGACAACTTGTAGCTTTCAATGTTTTAGCTTTTTCACTGCTAACGTGCTAATTAGATATTTTCACAGCTTTGAGGAGCAGTCACTTTGCGTTTTACTGCACATTCTGTGTGAGCATGTGACAAACAGCGGATCTTGAATCTTGACATACACCTTTCTGACTCATTCAGGTGAATCGACCAATCGGAAAGGTTCAGATCTTCACGGCCGACTTATCGGAGATCCCGCGATGCAACTGCAAGGCGACCGATGAGAGTCCGTGTGGGATGGACTCCGAGTGCATCAACCGAATGCTGCTATACGAATGCCATCCGCAGGTACCAAAACAAATCCATCACACTCACACAGAAAATTACAAAGTTTACATGTATTGAATTTATTTTGTGAGAGACACTTCAGCCGGGCTGCAAGGTGGAGCGGTGGTTAGCACCGTTGACTCGCAGTAAGAAGGTCACCTCTTCGCATCCCGGTGAGGACACCCGGCATCTTTCTGTGTGGAGTTTGCATGTTCTCCCAGTGCATCGTGGGTTCTCTCCGGGTTCTCCGGCTTCCTCCCACAAGGTCCAAAAACATGTTGAGGTTAATTGGTGATTCTAAATTGTCTGTAGGTGTGAATGTGAGTGTGCTTGGTTGTCTGTCTCTAAGTGTAGCCCTGTGATAGACTGGTGACCTGTCCAGGGTGTCCCCTGCCTTTTCCCTAAGTCAGCTGGGATAGACTCCAGCCCCCCCGCGACCCTGGTGAGGATTAAGCGGTGTACAGATAATGGATGGCGTCACCTCAACCCAAATATTTTTAGATTTCATCTGTTCATATCGGAAAAGTGCTACACCAAATTTTTACATTTCTTTTCCAAGATTTTAGGCTTCTTAAACAGAAAAAGATGAATCAGTTGGTTGTGTGGTTACAATGGATGCAGCAGTTGTTGTGTTTTCATTCCTCTTGTATCAAAATTTATAAAGATGAGAATTTTTAGAACTCGTTCAAAAGCATCACAGTCTACGGAGCCATAATGCTGTTTTTTATTATCTAATTTAGGATTTTGATAAGGCTAAAGTAAGAATTAATTTTGCTTTTTACTGGAGTCCTTCAGTTTTTATGCAGGCTTATATTGGAGCCAGCATTTCAAAATTCTCTCTAAGTATCTCTTTTCTATAGAGCCAAATGTCATTTAGTTTGGTTTTACAGTTGTGGGTTTGGCACTGACTAAATTAGTTTCTTTTTTCAGGCCAAAATAAAAATGGCCTTAAAACCTTCCAAGTTTCTTTATCGGGGTTCACAAAGTCCCGTAGTGGAATCTTGTCCTTGTCCTTCCAGCTTGCGTGTTCATGGCAGAGGTAGTTGCTTTAATGATCCATTCTTTTGAGGAAAAAACACTTCATAGCAGTCTTTTTCATTGTTTTATTGTCCGTCCTCATCAAAGGTCTTTTGATACGTTCAGAAAATATAGCTGCAAATGTCAGCATTGTGTTGCTTTCTTATTCTTCTGAGAAAACTCTCACGCTTCTTTCAAAAAGTGGCGTTTTGAGGTTAACTTGTACAAGCCGTGTCCTTCTCCTTGTGCCAAAGTACGATCCTGTTGCATGTCCACAACACATGGCGTCACATCATTTGAGCAATTGGATTACACCAGATTAATTTCCATCTGGGAACAGAAGAAATCTTGACAAATCTTCACTTTTACAGTTGATTTCAGCAACTTGTTGGCAAGAAGTTGCACATTTAGCAGATACAACACAACATTTATTGTCTCTCTGTCTACCTCATGAATCTAAGCCCAATATTCACTCTCTAGTTGCTTTGTCTTTGGTCTCTACTGACCCCTGAGAAGATATGAGTTTTTTAACTGCTAAAATGCTCAATTACAGCCACGAAAAGTTAAACCGAGGCAGGGAAAAGAAATCAAAAAAACAAAGCTAGTTGAAATATGCTGAAACACAAAAGCAACCAAATGTGCCAAATGTGGCTTTCCAGCAAAAATGTTTGGTTTCGCATTCTGGTTTAGATCCAAACAGTTTGTAGGATTAAAATGTAAGTGTGTAAATCCCAATAAACATGACCTTAAGTAAGTAATTCTGCCTACTCTTGCTGCTGTTGCAACTCTGTCAACGCTGAAACACTAATGGTCAAACTGGCATCTGGCCTCCTCCACTGTTCCTGGAAAACGTTTCCCTCCTAATGATATAAGCTTTAGATAATTCAATTCAGACGCATTTTGATGTCCCGATGAGTTTAACCCTTTGAATTCTAAATCTTTTTTTAAATTTTTTTTTTTTATCATTTTTTGCTCCTGTGACATTTTAAACTCACTGTGGGCTCTTTTTTCACTCCAATATAAAGTCCTGCACCTTTTAGAAAACAGAGCAACCATGACTAGAAGAGACAGAACTTTAAAATGTCTTTTTGTAGTCGGTTTTAGTGACATAAATCAGAAAAAGTTGATTTTCTTTGATTATTTTACTGAATTTTTTTTAAAACTTGTTTAAAATCTTTAAAACCACTTGTTCACTGGTGTTGTTTTTATTGGAAAAATGGAGGCTCTACATGCTATTGACATTTTCAAATGAGGCATTTCTCCCACCACTCTGCACATTAACTCCAGAAAGATGTTTCACTGTGATGAATGTATGTTCTAACAACTTGCTGACAACTTGCTCCTCTGTGTGACATTTTTGAATTGTGCTGTATTGATTTTATTGATTAAGAATATATTATGTTCCATTCAGTCTCCCTTGTCCTCCCCATCTACTCAGTCTAAACACAGCCTGCAGTTCAGCTAAAAAGTCGCTGATTTTTTTGTGACATAACTGCTGGTTGTAGCGTCGTCACTCATGGTTTTTTGTTTCTTACCGTATCTTTTGCATACGGCTTACTTTTGCTAATTTCTTTTTGAATGAAACATGAAGAATGGGGGGATTTTTGATGAAATATCACAAGTTTTAAGCTTAGATTCTGACATTTATTGTGACACATGCTCCCTCGTTTTAAAACAAAACGACCCTGTGAACTTCCAGGTTTGCCCAGCTGGTGAGCGCTGCCTCAACCAGGCGTTCACCAAGCGTCAGTACAGCCAGGTGGAGATCTTCAGGACGCTGTCTCGAGGCTGGGGGCTTCGCTGCGTCCACGACATCAAGAAGGTAACTGCGGTGCTGCTGCAGACTGCTGATGCTGGTATTACCACTGCACTGCCTGCCTCTTTGCCAGAAGGTGTGTCTGAATGATGCATGTTCCCTGTGTTTTCTCTCAGGGTCACTTTGTGAGCGAGTACGTCGGGGAGGTGATCGATGAGGAGGAGTGCAGGTCGAGGATCAGACACGCTCAGGAGAACGACATCTGTAACTTCTACATGTTAACTCTGGACAAGGTGCCGCTCTGAGCCTCAACTGTAGAATTTTACTATATTCGCAACAGATTTTTTATTAATTCATGCTCATTCATTCAATGTCAGTCTCTTGTTTTTTATTTGAGCATCTGGCATGGAAAATAACTGTGGCTACCTATTTTCATCTTGATCTGAGGTCATTTTAGACTCCAGAGAGACTCGACAGGGACAAAAGCAGAGTCAGAGCCGACTCAAAAAGACCTGAGAATGATTGGACTCAATCTAAAACGTGGTTAACCTAAACAGACAGGAAATTTGTGGCAGCAAAATGAGACAGTTCTCAATTACACTGAATGTAATTTGCACCTGAAATGGTTACCAGAGTAAAGGTTAAGACACCAACCATGAATGCAAGCCCTTGGTTAGAGTCTCTTGTGCCCCAAAATGATCACCAAAACAGTCTTTAACTTGTATCCAGAGGTGGTGTCGTTTGTTGACAACATCATGCTGCACTGAGAACTGTATTTTCAAACAGACCAGCAAAGCAACATGCTGCTCACACCAGTAAAGCTAGAGGCTGTAAATGTTAAGACTGTGTCGTACTGTATTCTTTGTATCTACATCCTCCAGTAAATGGTTAGAATACAAAGCAGAAACGTAGCTAGAAGCTTTTATTGGGGTACGTTTGTGTGTTTGTCAGGACCGGATCATCGATGCCGGGCCGAAGGGGAACGAGGCTCGCTTCATGAACCACTGCTGTCAGCCAAACTGTGAGACCCAGAAGTGGACGGTGAGCGGAGACACCAGAGTGGGACTGTTCGCTCTGGTTGACATCTCTGCAGGTACGCCGCTTCTTTTCAAACAGAAAATAAAAACAGCCGCTTAAATCATGCAGTTTGTTACATCAGCAGCTGTCTGTAACTGTTTTAGTTGTCATGTGAGATGTTATCAGGAAGGGAAAATGTAAATAATGTAGTCTTGTATGCTGATATTTTATCATTTTTTCTTCTTTTTGCATGTTTTGTGGTATAGTGGTAAAAGACACATTGGAATTTAAAGGATAAATATGAAGTTTTTGACTTCACATGCACTTTTCTACACTGAGAACTGTTTTTGTCAGTGTAGTTGTGGAACTGCTGATCAATTTGTCATACCATTTTATAATCTACAGTCCACGTTTGTATAAAAGTGCTTTCTAAAGCATTTTTTTTTAAATCACTTGATCTGGCCTCTTTATCCAAAGTGCTAACCCTGAACCCCAACTGACAAACCGAGTGCTGCATCTCCTCCAAGTCGTATGTTTTTATTCGTTCAGGCACAGAACTCACCTTCAACTACAACCTGGAGTGTTTGGGAAACGGGAAGACGGTCTGTAAATGTGGAGCACCAAACTGCAGCGGCTTCTTAGGCGTCAGGCCAAAGGTGAGGCGAGTGACACAAATGATGCTCGTCAGTAAGTTTAATCATAGAGCACGTTTTACAACAACCTGCGCCGACCAAAGTGCTGAACATGTTTTAACAAAAATATGTGCAAAACGCAGAGAAACAGAAAACAGGGTAAAAATTTGTGAGATCTGTTAAGACAGAATAAAATTAAAAAAATACAACAATATTAAGACCACTAAGAGCAACTAAAAGGCTTTGAAAACATGATTTTAAGAGATTTCTGAGAGGTTTCAGTGGACGAGCAACATTTGACTGAAAGAGGAAGACTTTACATGTAATTTTAACGTCACAATGTACAAAAACATACATTTTTACCGTCATTATTTGACTTCTCTCTTTATTCCAAACCAGAACAACCCTCCATCTGAAGACAAAGGCCGCAAGCTGAAGCGGAGAGGCCACGGCAAGAAGAAGAAAAAGGTGGTTTTGACCAAAGAAAGGGAGGACGAGTGTTTCAGCTGCGGTGACGGAGGTCAGATGGTTTCCTGTAAGAGACCCGGATGTCCCAAAGTTTACCATGCAGACTGTCTGAACCTCACCAAGAGGCCTGCAGGTCAGTGGCTGCAACCAGCAGAGTCCTGTTGTCTAGTTCAGCTTGTGTTGGTGGGACTCAATAGGCAGCACGGTGTTCCTTCATGAGGAACCGTATTCCTGGTGCACAGTTTTTGGGTGGTTTGTGAGCTTAATTGTCTTAATTGGAGAAAAGGTTTAAGTTAACAGTCTTTCATTGTCACCACACTGTTACTACACAGTGCTCTGCTGGCTGCTCATGTTTATGCACTTTATCCTCTAGACTTTACCTTAAGGTACCTATTCATCATCATACAACTCTTACTTTTGTAAACTTCACATTATGTTGCAGTCCATGAGCCAGTCTGGGGAAAAAGTTACTGATGCACTGGTGTGTTTGAGGCATTTTCACTTCAACTGAATTTTATTTCTATAGCACCAATCCATAACATATCACCTGAAGGATTTTTATACAGAAAAACCAACAAAACTAGTTTCCTTTTAAGTCTGTTTTAGCAAGCACTTGGTAGGAAGGGGGAAAAAACTCCCCTTATGTTGTAGTTGGTCAAAGTAAAGTTAATTTTAACTGCTTTCTGTACTTTTGGCTGATTTAATATTTATTTTATTTATTTATTTATTTGTTTGACAAGTGACAATGCACATTAATCAACATTGTACAATGTAAGCGTGCCCGAGTTACCTCGATTAAGCTAGTTTTCATCGGTAGATCCTTTGGCAGTTGTCAAAGCCAGCCTAAAAAAATTTTAAGAAATTTACATCACATAACAATTTACACATACAATAAAAATACAGAGGAAAAACATGCAACCAGTATTTTTACATTTCCTGTGACAGTTAGTGCTCACAGGTCTGTGTCTCTAGCAGCCACCTTTTGGCGTTCTTTTTGAATGAAAACAATGATGGAGACTCTCTTATCCCTTCAGGCACTGTATTCCACAGTTGGGACGCTCTAAATGAAAAGACAGCCTGGCCAAACACAGGTTTTCTGTGGGGGAGAATGCAGTCCTCCCTCACTGCCCCCCTGGTTTCTCTGCCTGTACTCGATCTAAAATGAATAAAGTCATTCAGTGAAGGGGGAGCAGAAGCAGTTTTAATTCTGTACATTAAACAAATATTTTTACATTTTACCAGATTATCCCAGCTCAGAAGTTTCTATTTCTGTAGAATGTGGTAATGATGATAACTGTATGGTTTTTTTATCCAATGTTTTTAGAGCTTGTTTATATAATGATTTTATGGGACTGATTATTGTAGCACGTGAATTAGACCAAGTTATGATACAATATGGGAGAGAATCATGGCAAAAAAAAAAAGTCTGTTTTTGCAGCTTCATTTGATAGACAGTCTCTAATGAACTGAAAATTTGATAAACTGAATTTGACCTTATTACAAGTTTTTCTAATATGCGATTTGAAGCTGAGGTTTGAGTCTAAATTTAATCCCATATATTTTAATTCTGTAATGGCCTGTAGTTTTTTGTCCTGCTATTGAGATATCTGGATCAACATTTAAATTGTGAAGTAGAAATACCCTGTACACACACTTCAGACGTGCCCTTGCTGTAAGTACAGTGCTTTTTACTACTACATTTGGCACATTAAATTTTCCACCTAGCTGCACATCCAAAGAACATTTTTTTTTCTTCATTTTTTGACATTTCATGATCTAATATTTCATTCTTACTTTCACACATTGAAGTTCCAAACGTGAAAACAAAGCCCAGTCTTTTGTCACACTTACTTTTATGCTGTTGTTTTATATGAACTTTCTCATAGTTTACTTGCTCTATGTGGCTAAATGTTCTGATTCTTCATACATCTTCTGTTCTATTTTAAAGTTTACTAATATATATCTGCTGCTTTCCTTCTTGTCTGTGTGCTTGCTGCAGGTCGGTGGGAATGTCCGTGGCACCAGTGCGACATATGCGGTAAGGAGGCGGCGTCCTTCTGCGAGATGTGTCCCAGCTCCTACTGCGCCCAGCACCGCGACGGCCTGCTCTTCATCTCCAAGCTGGATGGCAAGTTGTCCTGCAGCGAACACGACCCCTGTGGGCCGGAGCCGCTGGAACCGGGGGAGATCCGGGAGTACGCACCTGAGCCCAGAGCTCTCCCCTCTGGGCTGGGGATGGCCGTCATCCCCCCTGCCAACTCCTCCACCACCACCACCAGCAGCAGTGCGACCCCGACCTCCAGGAGGACCCAGGAGAGCAGCTCCGGGGCCAACGTGTGTGCTTCCGAGCCGTTTCCCGCCTTTTCCATCCCGGTTCCCATCACCATCCCCGTCGCCGCTCCCGCCGCCTCGCCTCCGCCCAGCAGCTCTGACGCTCCCAGCAGCCCACACGTGTTCGACCTCCCGCACTACTCGCCTATCTCCTCATATGAGGAGGAGAGGGACGTCTTAGAGGAGGACGAGGAGGAGCTGTTGGCTGAAGATGATGATGAGGAGGAGGAGGAAGAGGAGGAGCTAGTGGAAGAGGGCGAAGTAGGGAGGCAGAAATCAGACACTAACCAAGAGGATGGAGAGGCAGAGATGGAGGAAGAGGGGCTGGAATACCTGGAGCTCAAAGACGAAGAGGAGGAAGACGATGATGATGATGACGAGGACGAGGAGGAGGAGGAGGAGGAAGAGGAAGAAGAAGAGGAGGAGGAGGAGGAAGAGTGATGCACAGTGAATTATTCTAAACAGAATCAACAGAGTCACTACAGTGGGGAAGCACATGGAGATGAATGAGTCAGAGTCGGTCACTGTTCGTATTCAGTCATCAGCTGGATGTACGGAGAGATTTGTAGGACAAAACGTAAATAAATTGTGAGGTTTAAAAAAAACAAAAAATAGGCAGCATCCTGTATAGATTTATATATAAATATATATAGACACACTGACACATATTCAACAAATTCACAGTTTATTTATGCTTGCGTTTTGTCCTAGTAATCGCTCCCTGACCTCGTTACACACTTGCTGTGAGTGCAAAGACAATTATCCAGAACTGCCACATAAAACTTCAAACACATTTCACTTCGATACGCTTGTTTTCTCACGTCATCCAAATTCACCTGCTTGGTTTGTATTTCAGGTGTCATAAAGTGGACGTGTGGGAGGCTGCTCCAGTTGTTTTATGCTAGAAAAAAACCTACAGCCTCCGGTCACTCTTCAGCTCACAGGTTCGGGACTTTAGGACCAACAGAGTCGTGGTGGTGCTCAGCTTAGGACTTCGACTGGGTTACATTTGAATTAAATCATGTTTACATCGCTGCAGTTGGAGGGTGGCTGTGATTAGTACCAGAAACAATATTTGTATTTGTTCGTAATTCAACCAGTTGAGGTTCTCTGTATCCTTTATAAGTTTGTTTATGATGAATGAAACACAGGCCTCCACTGGATTTCAGTACTATGAATTAAACAGGACACACACTGCTGGTTCGTGGCATCACCTGCCTTGGCCGCCAGACTCAAACTTCCATCCAGGACTTGACGACCTGAAACACAGGAGTCGCTGCTTCCGTTAAATCCCGTCTCTCCTCCCGTTTCCAGTTCTTCTTGACGCCTCACATCGTTTGTTGGTGCTTCAAGATCAGTGAAAATATGCTAGACGAGTGGCTGCCTGGGACAGACTCCACCACGGCAACTTTCTCTCCGTTGATCTCAACCGTTGAAGTCATTCAGTTTAATGAAAATAATTCATTTTCACTAGATAGAGATAGTTTTGGGTTGCAGCTGCTACTAGTGATTCACAGGATAACTCTAGGTTTGAACATTTCATGCCAAAAAAGACCCCAAACTGACGAGGATTTGGTGTTGTGCTCGTAGTGGTCTTCGTGTCAGGGTGGCATAGACACAAAGAAAGCATTGATGCCATCGTAGGACAATCTCATAGGTTGTTTAGCAGCTCCATGAGTCAGCCTGTCTGCAGTTTTTACAGACCGACTCTCCTGAAGGTCACGTCCTCCGTTATCTAACGTGGGGCAACACGAAATGGACACTCGGCCTCGGCCTCTCGGTCTGTGGCGGTGTGAATGCAGACGTAGCACTCGGTCGGCTCCAGTGTGTATTCTGTGCTCTGTGGTCATTATTTATATGCTGTTCTGTGACGCACAAATGATTAGGAGGGAGAGCTGCGGCTGTGTCGGCGCTCCCTCTCCTCGTTCTGGGCTCTCCATCGAGGGGGGAAACTAAAGTCTCTGATTGGAAGTGAGACGCTTGAAACAACGGACTCCTGCAATGATGCTTGCACTTCAGTATGTGTTCTTGCCACATGTGTTTCGCTCTGTCTTCAAGCTTAATATTGTCTGTGTGTTATCTGCCAATGCCTTAGAGTGTATTTCTTTGGAGATATTTTTAAGGAATGGTTTGGCGCCTGTGAGAGCCAAGTTTCCCTACTAATGCCTTTTTACAGTTGCCCAAACAAGTAATGTTTCATTCCAGTGTAATTATGACCTGTTAGATCTCAACCATTGACCTGTTAAAACAACTGCTATATAAATATATAAGAAGAAGAAGTTATGAAATAAGCACCTTGTACTGGTATCTTTATTTATTTTAGTCTAACATGAAGCCACATAGAAAACATCTGTGAGCTGCTAAAATTAAAGCCACAAAGACACTTTTAAATCTGACAATGTGTCTTTTAATTCATATAATTAAAAGACATTACATAATTCAACACTCCAAAGTTTTGTTTTTTTAATTTCCCTGCACTTTAAAATGCATTATTTAGGAAACAGTGCTTTTCCAACAACACATACAGAAATTATAGAATTCCTGTTAGCCTCACTTCATAAGTCGCTGTTAAATACTAATGATAAAATATTAAAATGATGTGGTGTTCACATTTCACTGGTTACTACAGTAATAAAACTCCAGAAACATTTGCCCTGATTAGCATGCCAAATTCTAAGTAGCATCGCTGGATAAGTTTGCTGCTAAACACTAACAAACTTTATTCTTTTATCAATGCTGAAATGATGTAATGTCGACCAATGTAGCAGTAACAACCTATTTGCTTCAGAATATGAACAGAAAATTGCAGAAAGATGTTCAGCTTTTGGAGCAACTTATTGCAGATCAAACGCTAATTAGCCTCGCTGGTTGTAGGTTGTTACTAAATGCTTACAAAATACTCATTGTTTTGCAAAAACATGATAGAATTATGTGGTGTTTGCATTAACCTGCCAGTAATTAAGTAGAAACTAATTTAGCTCTGAGTGGATGGCAAAATCCAGAAATATGTTGAGCATTTACAACAGCTGATTAGCATGCAAAATGCTAATTAGCCACTCAGAATGAGTTGTGGGTAAATGTAGGCAAAAACAATTCTGGTTTATCATGGCTGAAATGATGTAATGTTCATATTTAATTATACTATAAAGAAGTAAATACAAGTGTAGTTTAGAATATGGGCAGAATACTCAAGTTTTAGCTCTTCAGAATAGTTAATTAGCATGCAAAATGCTAATTAGCCACAGTGGGTAAGGTACTGCTAAATTCTAGCAATAACATTGTTTTATCATGGTTGAAATTATGTCATGTTGTTTGGCCAGTACAGTAAACTCTCACATAGGTAATCATGTGAACAGAAAGTTGCCTGTTTCAGGTTATCAGAATGACTGATTAGCATGCAAAATGCTAATTAGCCACAGTGGATAGGTTGCTGCTAAATGCAAACAACATTATTGTTAAATTCATTTAAATCTGCTAACGTTTTGCTGTATTCACTCTCAGGTGAAGTCATCATGTTTTATTCCAGCAACAGTTTTACGGAGCTTAAGTAATGTTTATTTGGCTTATGATGCAGAGGAGCATAAATTTCTTGCCATTTTGAGTTTAAAGTAGGTCAGCTGTGGGAGTCATGCAGAGCCAAGGAGACATTTGGAAAAGGGGACATTAAGTACAAAGGCACTTCTGAACTAGAGGTAAGATCAGCTTAAAACTCATTCAAATAATAATGAATAAATTTCAAGAAAGGTATGAAATTTTTGTCGCTTGTTTAGGTAGGTCAGTAGTTAGCTTAAGCTAACTAGCCAGCTGTGTAGCCCCCAGTTTTTAGAAGGTGATGTAGAGAAATATGAAAATGTAAACCTCTGGTATGTAGAGTTTTGTGACAGACAACACAAATGAGTCGGCTGAAAAAATCTCGACCAGGGTTTGTTTAATTTCACACTGCTGCCGTGGTGTTCAAGTTGTATGTTGCTAGCTCTGTTGCTAGCTCAGCTGTTTCACCTGGTTGTCACTTGGCTTTAAAACCTCATTTTGAGGAGTTTAGTAGGATGTACATTTTCTGCTCTGATGTGGCTAAGCTGATTTCCAACATACTTTCTTTTTTTGTGTGTGTTTTTGATGTTTTTAGCTCTCACAGTACATTTATGTAGGGTTTATAAACAGTCTGGTTTTTGCCACCCAGCAGCCATCTTGGTATCACTCCTGTAGTTACTTCAACAAGACCAGGCTCCTATCTAAATTAATTTTGAGGGACAAAACTGCAATTTTCATGGTCACTGGGATACGAAAACTGCATGTTAAAAGAAATTACCATACAAATATGATTTACAAAAAAAACAACAACAAAAAACAAACAAAAACTTTAATCTGGTGACTTTGCCCCAAAATAACACTGAAAAATCATTTTTGGAAGTTTTCTGCTGTTGTTTCCAAAATTGGTGGCTGTCTGTAGCAGTTTGTAGCTCCTACTTTATATATATGTCATCTAGAGCTGCATTTAACTGGATTTAAAAGCCATAGCAAATACACATATACAACTACACATAATGTAATGCTTCATGTAACTGAACATTTGTGACCAGGGAAACATTTGTGTCATAATCAACCACAATCTTCACATTATAGGCATAACAATGGCATGGTTTCATTTTTAGGCTGTATGTGTTTAGTTTGTCTAATATCCACATTTATATTTAGAAACTACACTGCAGTTAACTGACAGATGGGCTTTATATATAAAAATAAATATATGATTTCTTGTAATGATGCTATGTGCTACAGTCTTTATAAAATAACCGACATGAATGGAATCAAGCCATTTAGATGCAATAATAACATGACGATTTAGAGGCAGTGTTCTTTTTAAGGCAGTGTAAAACTGCATTATATGAGTTCAGTTGGTCCTTTACAGCTATTTCAGCTGCTAAAAACAGCTGCATTGGTTGTAATCTAGGGCTCAGAGAAGGTAATTCAAGACTTTGTTCCAGGGATAATTTCTTTATGACTATCTGATCCATATAAAAGCAGCTGTATATAAACTGGACGATACAGCTTTAACAAGTCAATCAGGTTTTGGCATGACAGGAGATTGGCTTTTATGGAGGAACGGTAGATTACTGTTCAGGACTCTTAAAATCTTCAAACTTCTGTTTTGAGCCCATAATGGTGGTTACAATTAGCTTTTAGGCTTCTGAAAATATACTTGTAATAACTACAAGTGAGTATGTAAAGGAAAATACCTTTCACAAAGCATCCCGAGGATCGTCATGATTTTTGACACACTTGGATTTTATAATTTAACATAATATTGCCATTTTTCCCTTGAATGCATAAAAAGGTCAAATATTACACACAAAGTCAAAATACTGTGGATCAAACATAATACAATTCAAGATCTATCAGTTTTCAAACATTCTTGGAACAAGCTCTTTTATTTTACAGAACATTTGGACACCAACCTCTCGTTAACAGCCTTGATAAAAATATTGTGCATCGAAATATCAACACATTAAACGTCAACACATCAAAGCGGCGACATGGAGGAAGCGTGGTTTATGTCCGATTATTTCCCCGCATGTCCATCTGGCAGCAAAACTTTAAAGGCAATAAATTAGTGACTCAAGTCTTAAATATAGTTGTAAATATTGTTCTGAGAACATTGAGAGATGACAGTTTGACTCACATTACAACATTTGCCCACAAGGCTTTTTCCTGTGTTGGTGAAATCCTTTTGTCACCACAGCGAAAGGGAACTTTGATGAACCTTCTGCAGAAGTCAAATTTTTCCTGAAAACCTTCAAATGCTCAACATTCTAGAAATGACTGAAAGAAAAAAAAATGACAGTCAGATTTTCATAATGCATTTAGGAGAACAAAACAGAAAATTAAATGTAGAAAAGTAGTTTTCCCTAAAATTTTCTTTCAGACAGCTTAGCAATTTAATAATCACACAGATCTGGGCATTTTGGTCATCACCACCTTAGAACCAGCTAATTTTTCTACCTGTTGACAAACTCATAGCTTATGGTGCAAAACGGAGCGCATTAGATACGGGCTGTTGCCATGGATGTATTGTAAGAACCAGATATCTGACCTGTTCTGCACATGTGCATTAGTGTTACTCCTGCTGTGCCACCAGTATGTTACCAGTCTGCAAGTAGAATTTACATTTGTATGATGTTATGTGCATAAAAACAGGTTTTCTAGGCTCTGGGAAAGCTTGAAGAATATTAAATATTCACATTTTAAAAATTCATAACACAAGTTATACGTCACCTTTTACGTCTTTGGGGAAAATGCTTTCCAGGGTTGTTGTTTTTTTGTTGCAGTAACACAAGTGGCCACTGGGAGAAATTCCAAAGACTGTATATAAAAGATGAACGTAGCGACTGTGACATCATGTAATGGTTTGTGGACTAACGTTTTGAAGGCTTGAGTTTGGCATTTGGTGAACTCAAGAAACAAGTGAGCTGCTGCTCTGACTGAGAACTGAAGGACACTGATAGCAGATCTTGCTTTATTACCTATTCTCCTCTAAATGGGACCATAATTTACCAAACGAACATGGTGCTGTATTGAAGGAAGCTTGAAACTAGCCATTGAGACCATTAACTCATGAGGATTTTTTTTTTTTTTTACTGAGGTAACTAATCAAATGAGAAGTAGGGTCATTTTCTCATAGATGTCTATACAATCAAACTCCATTTTGCAGCCAGAGGAGTCGTCTCCTGCTGGCTGTTGGGGAAAAAAATGCAAGTTTAAACCAGTTCCAGATTGGCTTCATTTGTCAGATTACGTCTGTCTTTTCATATACAGTCTGTGGTCAGAGCAAGGCTGAGTGGTGGCGGCGTATCTCTCCTAACACATCCATGGCTGTCACACAGCAAAAGTCATAGTAAACACTAAAGAGCTGAAGCTCCAGAACGTAAACACACACAGTCCTGCCATTTGTCCTGTTGGTATAAAGGCCTCTATGAAGATAATTGCTGTGATTTCATTCATGTGTTGTACCAGCTTTGCAAATGTTTCATTAGGGTTACTTTCGCTTAAACTGTGAGTGGGAGTGTTTTGTTCTTTGACACATATCCCGGTTTGTCTCCATCAGACATGTAGTGGGATTCCACAACAAGGTTAAATATAAATGGAGGTAAACAAAATTAACAGCTGTAAACAAACGATTCATCCTCCTGAATAGCATCTATCAAGTTTTCTCTGCCAGTCCGGGTTCGGTGGGATCCCTCTTTTCTGCCAGCACTGTTTAAAACTCTTCACCGCTGCAGGTCGTCTTTCAACCACAGCACAGCTTCCGATTGTTTCACACTGCAGCTTCCCTGTGAGCTACAGAACAGTGACCATTTGATATGGGGATAAAACACGAGTGAAAAGTCTTTAAATCCCTCTCCACCCAGTTGCAGTTGTAATAAATCCTCCAGAAATCTTCCATAAAGTCTTGCAGGCCCTCGGTTCTTTATGGCACAAAAGAAACTAACATATGTAAGAAGGTATAAACAGTGCTATTTGATTTCTTTTTCTGTGATTCGGAGAACACATCCAGAGATGAGTCACAGCCATCCAGCATATCCAGGTTTGACTCCAGCTGAGGGAAGGTGACCACTTCTGTTTCCCTTCCTGTTGCTCAGCATCAGTTGTTATGGCAACAGGAGTAGAAATATGAGTCTTTCTTCTGGCCCAAGTCGACACCTGTTTCCTCCGCTGCAACAAAGAAAGCAACATGAAACCTTTGCATGTAAAATCTTGAATGTGGCAGCTTTGAGATCAGTTTCAGGACATTTACATGTTACTTTAAACACTTTGGTTTCTACAAATTTTAAACAAACCAGATAAAACGTGTTACTTTGTGAGCTTTACAGGTTTTTATAGACATTAGTTACCCCTGAACAGAGCCAGGCTTTTCAATCTTTGTGCTAAACTAAGCTTCGTATTTAGGATGAGGATGGTTTTGATCTTCTAATCCAACTTTCTGCAACAAAATGAATAAGCATATTTCCCCAAATGTCTAAATATTTCTTTACATTTCTAGTTCTGAACTATTATTGGTCAGAGTAGCTTCTACCACATCTGCGAAATCTCCCCTGTGGCGTTCCTCAGGGATTGATGTTAGGACCACTGCTATTTTTGTGTATGAACTGCTTCCAGTTACCACATATTTAGACAACATTTTTAATTTGTTGTCTAATTTACCAATATGAGACAAACGACATTGTGCGGAGACTCCCTTCAGGGGTTATCCCAAAATAACCAAAATAATCCCTAAAATAACTGCAAATCATCGTAAGTTTTCAATTCAAACAATAGAATGAAAAAACACTACAGACTGGCTAGCTTATGTACTGACTTCCACTTCTTCCATCTCTCTAATGCATCGTCTGCTGTTTACCATGTTTACCAGTTAAAGGAGATAATGGGGATATGACGCAATTGTTAAGCAACCAAAATCAAACGCATCGCTGGGATAGATATAACAAAAAAATCTAACAACAACCTTGTCATTTTTAGACTTCTAATGTATAATACAACCCAAATCCTATCACGTCTTTTCAATCTTGACACACGATTGCCTCTGAATGTTAACAGTTCAGCCAGAATCCAAAATTCTGTTACTTTTTCCACATGTGTGTGTGAATGGAAACTTCAAACAAACCCAAACCTGTTGGCTTGTCAACCAGTGTCTGAAATTTTGGCTTCAAACTTTATGTAGGTTTTTGGAACATACAGCAAAAATAACTCCCATTTTACATAGTGACTGGCCAACTCTACACGTCTTTCTCTGACTTTTTATTTTTAATTCTCCGCACAACTACTCCTGTCTGACTATTGATGCCATCATCTATAAACCCCTTTTGCTTCCTGACATGTTTGGACTAAACATAAGACCTTGTTTCAGCCATCACTTTTTCAGTTCACTGAGCTTTTCTCTGAAATAGTTTATGTTGTCATCACCATCGTGTAGAGAACTCTGTCTTGACGTCCTGACCCGTGAACACAAGGCTCGTACAACCAAACGCAGAACGGTATGTGAATGACATTCACCTGTCATATACTGGAAGGCAGTGCTGTTGTAATCCTCTGCAACTTTCTGGAACAGCTCATCTGGAAGGCAGAGGAAGAATGAGGCCTGTCAGTTTCCATCAGTTCAAAAACAGGTCCATTCACATTTGTAATACCTGATTTACAACATGCAGCAACTGATTTCAACCTAGCAGTCTGATGAGAGGCTCCAAAAGCTGCCTCCATTATGCAGCTGCTCTTTTACTATTACACCACCATTTTGCTTTATCAAAGACACCACGCTAGTTCTCATGTAAAATCCAAATAGCCTTTATCCAACACTAAACAACTTAGTGTGTACTTGAGTGTCACACTGTTAGAGCTGCAGAGAGTAATCAACTGTGAAAGAAAATTGGAAAAAAAAATCTCTGTTTCCAGCTTCTTAAAAGCGAAAATTTCATGTTATTCTTTGTCAGCAAGTAACTAAATATGTTTTGGTGTTTACTATCATCCAATACAACAATCCATTTGAATGCAGCATCTTGAGTTGTAAGAAATCACCTCTCTTTCCACATCAGTTGTTTGTTAGCTGTAGCTCTTAATACTGTATTGCACAGAACATTTTAGAACACGGACATTATAGATCAGGATGTGTCAGGTTTGGGTCAGGATGTACAACATCCCTCGTTTGCTTTGTAACATCTTAAGAGAAAAAACGTGTAAATATAAAAAGAATTTGATGAAGCTGGACGCTAAAAGACACATTTATTATATTTAGGTTGCAGGTGAAATGCAGTCCAGTGTTAATTTTGTCTTTTCTGATATGTGAAGCTTGAAGCAGGTTACAGCAGGGTCACCCTCAGGCTGGCAGTGGTTTGACGTAAGCTGTTCGCTGCTCGCTGCTCGCTGCTGTGCCTCTGGTTAGTTTCTCCGTTAATCGTGTTGCTGTATCTCTTTGGGTTGGATTGTACTTTAACAAGGTACTTGCTCAACTCCCTGGGGACCTGGTCAAACTTAGTTTAAACCTGTGGACACCTACCAAATTGAGACAATTAAATAAGCCAGGTCTAGAGTGTTGGAGTTTGTTTACTTTAGTTGTGTGTATTTGTTTGCTTGTTCTGGAGTTACCTCTGTTCCAGTCCTTTTTTTGGTTTTATTATTTTCCTTAGCGACACCCACAGACCTTTTTTTCCATTCTAGTTTGCTGGGTTTTTTTCTAACATCTCAAAGTAAATAATTACAAATATACTGAACTATTACTTGCTCTTCTTTTCTGCATGTCCAGTGAATTTCTTGAGGAACTTACTGTACCTGCCATGTTGTGTTTGTGACTGTATTCTATTCCTCCGGCATGTTTCTGTGCTGTGATCAGAGTGTTAAATGAAGTCTGCAGAGGATCGAAGGGGGAACTCACCCACATTATTTCCTGTTTTACTGGAAGTCTCGAAATGCTGCGCACCGATCTCTGTGAATACAGGTCAGAACAGTTAGGTTAGATATCAGTCAGGCAACTTATGTAAGAGGAGTTTTCTCTGTTGCAACTCCTGCTAATCACTCAGAAACACTGGAAGAGGTCAAAAATTTCTTAACATCCTCTAGTCACATCCAGAGTGTTTACGAGCATTTTCGTAAACCTTTTTCCCCAGTTTCAGAAATGATCATGCAAATGGAAATTTTGTTTTTTCTCAAACTGGTTTCACATGTGCAAATGTGCATGAGAAAGACTATAGAATAAAGGATCCCAGCAGGATTGAAGCAAAGCTTATTGCTGGATTACATAAAGAAAGCGTGATTAAGCTAAATAAAACTCGAAATTTTTCCACACTTGAAGACAGTATGTAAAGCTCAAAAACAAACACACACACAATGAGAAAAAAAGAGACTGATTTACAGCTTCGGGAGCTATTTCTGACTGACACTTTGAGCTGGTCTTCAGCCGCCTTCGTCAGACATTAAACACAGATGGTGGTGTGACGGTCAAACAGAGCGAAGCAACAAACCGGCTGCACCCATCCCCCTAAAATAACACTGGAAATGTCTGACCAACTGCTTACTCACGCACACAAAAAAGCCAAAGCTGACTGGCTGAAAATTTATCGGCAGCTAAAATTGTAATGTATTCCTGTGTGACATTTAGTTTAACATGTCTGAGTTTTAGAGAGTTGTGATTGTGAAAATGTCTGTTTCGGTATTAAGGGAAATTGTTTACCTTTTCTGAAATCAATGATAAAAGAAGTCATTCGTTGGCATAGAAATAAAAAAAAAAATCCAAAGAAAGGAAGCTAGTATCACTACACTGTTTTCTTACAGATTCTATTAAAAAAAAACAAGCACAGATACAAATATGATACCAAAATAATCAACTGTCAACACACCTCCGACCAGGACTCCTTGTCAGCTCACTATTAAGAGAAAATATTAGCATGGAATCTTTTCTGCATGTTTACAGCAGCTTAATAAAAGCGAGACTGGAACTTACCTTCAGCAAAGTCCTGAGCATCGTGGTAGTCGATCTGGCGCAGGCTCCGGTCTCCTTCAACCAGGTCGTTCTTCGTGCCACACAGGTAGATCTTACAGTGCTGCAGGACACAATGCAAACATCTTTGAGCTCTTGCAGTTTCCTCTGTATGCAACATCTGTGCAGTCATAAAACAGCCATACGTGGGGATGCACATAATACACAGCTGCAGAATCTACAGACTGTGTTAAAACAGAAATTAAACAGAACATCAATCTGTCTTAAATGTCAAACACATTTTAAATCAGTTGACATACTGGTCTCCACAGCCTGCAGTTCAGCCGAAAAGTCCTTGAATTTTTTGTTGCGTGGTCGTTTGTCACAACTGAGTTAATAAAGATTTTGAGGTGGCACCAACATACCAGAATTTTTTTTTATTTAGCATTTTTTATAGAATCTGTGAGAGTATATGGTCGTTTTTGGCAATTGTTTAAATTAGACGTAGAATAAAGTGGTTTTGATGATATATCACGAATATAAGCTTAAATTTAGTCACGTTTTCAGCACGAGTAGTTCAGGGCATGTCGGAAAGCTGAAAACCGTTAGTACAGTTTGCAGCTGTGATAAATGGTATAATTTTGGCTTTTGTTCAAGATAACATGGGATTCAAGGGGTTAAATCTAAATTTTGTCCTTTTTAGGCTGCATTTTATTCATGCAAAATTACGACTGCTTGTGTTCACACAACATTTAATATCTAAAAAATGTTGCTTCTTTGTTTTAGAGAAACATTTTTATATTTTTTTCAATAAGGTATCAAAATCACAGTGACTGCATGCACAGACTAGCAAACAATACAACAAAACCTAATGTGGCCACACACTTTCATTGCTCCTTTTATTAATTACAGCTTTGTGAGCGAGTAAAAAGCTATATTATGATGGTTATTAAGCACAAACACAGGTATGCAACTGTTTTACATTGAGCTTGAGCACAGAAAAACTCTCCTACCTCCTCGCAGTTCTGCAGCTCTTTCACCCAGAACCGAGCTCGCTGGAAGCTGCTGCTGTCAGTCAGATCTGAAAGCCAAAAATTACAAAAACCACCACGTTTAGCCTCCAGAAGCAGACCGACTCTGTGTGTCAAGGCTTTTCAGTATTCCACCTTCTCCTCAGGATGTACAGTGCAGGTGTGCAATATTAAAAACAGACAGTAGAAATAATGGGAACAATCTTTAGCAAACATGGTTAAGAAGACAAACAGGTCAGGAGCTTGAACACAGAGGTGAAATACAATCTACAGAAAGATGGAAGTTAAAGAAGAGCAAAGGCAGCCGATGTTAAATAAAACATGACAGCAGTGTGAGTAATCCCCCGGAAAATGCCATCACCTAAGTTCCCCAAAATGAAACAAAGACAGAGAACCGTTCAGAAAATGCTCCGTCTGTTTGAAAATCCATTTGTTGTAATCAGGTCCCCATGAAAAACATTTTATTTGCTTATTCCTTTATGAACCCTCTCTACTGTCGTACATTTCAGCTGCTCTCATCATTTTTCTCATCCTGTCTGGGGTCAAAGTCTTCGTCTCATCCTCACGCTGGTCTTATCTGGGCTGGTTCACGTTAAGAGGGACTGTCCTTGTTTCACATCAAGCTTAGAGGAGCAGCTCTGAGGTATTGTGAGACCTTGGACGTGTAATTCTCCCAAAGTGATGAGATCAGTGAATGAATGGACTGCTTTGTTTTACAAACCCTCAGATGAGCTCAAGATTGCCTGTACTGACATCACCATCGTGTTACAAATGTGACAGACATTTTGATCATGTGTCTATTACTTAAAGCTATACTTTTTACACAGTTTCAATGACAGCAAGTTGTTTACGGTGTTAGAAAGTTGGCTGGAGACATGTATAAGTGCTGTGTACTGGATGGAAGTTTATCACACCAGTTCATCCTTGGTGCCTCACTAGAAGGTAACTGGACTTCTTTTTGATTCTTTAAGATATTTCTCTTCTTGTAAAAGAAGCTGATGGGGCCACACACATATCTGTTTAGGGCCACTTGTGGGTCATTACTCAATGGTTCGTCAACTTCAAGTGTAAATGGTGGTAACTCTGCCTTGGGAGGGATGTCAGGACTGAACTAGGTAATTAGCTGAGGTACTAGGAGTCTTTCAGGTTACCGTCTGGCAACTAAAGAAGTAATCCCTGTACTAAAAGTATTCCTGATGAGGAAATGCTGCTTTAGGCTACAAAGGAAGTCCAGAGGCAACTTTGGGTTGTTGGTTTCTCTGTTTAAATTTGTAAGGTCTATACCTTACTTTGTTAAGCGCTGTGTGATAATGTGTTATAAACTGTGCTATTCAAATCAAATTGAATTGAATTGAATTGAATTGAAAGAGCTTTGGAAAGTTGTCACAAATCTTAAATGACCCACAGCTGCAGCAGATTTGTTTTAAAATAAAGCACAGTAGACTGTCCTGACTTTACACTAAAGCTGGATTTATAATTAAACATGGTTGTTTATCATTAATTGTTCATTCATTGTTTGGTCTATAAAGCAGCAGAAAAGAGTGATACATCATTTCCCAAAGCATTACGCCTTCAAATGTCTTGTTCTGTCCAACCAAAAGTGAAAATCCCAAAGATAGTTTACAGAGATTTTAAACAGAGAACAGCGAATGATTAGTTGTTGCAGCTCTTTGGATCTGATTTGCATTGTAACTTGCTAATCTCTCCACCAGCTTGTTTCAGGCTTTAATTTTCATCTCCACTGTAACTGTGTTTACATTCTTTTGTTGACTTTGTTATAGACGGCACTGATAGGACGGTGCGCTTGTCTCATTTCCAGTTTGGATCTGGGTCCAAATTGTGTTTACATTCTTTTCACGTGTATACTGAGGTCCGATAGCAGCGAGCAGCAGCTTGCAGTGCAGGTTATTTGGAAGTGTGTTACAGAAATAGAGGCAGACTTTCTTCACATTACTTCATCAAGACTTCACGGAACAATTTCTAGCAGCATCAAAAACAAAAGCCGTCTGAGTTGACCAATCGCACTTGTTGTTGTTGTTGTTGTTGTTGTAGACATGTACTCAGCGGCCTAGTGTTGCGTAATAAAAGGCTCTTTAGGTTGCGAGCTGCAGATGGGAAGCAGCATCTGACCAGGAGATGCCGACAAATCGATACACACTGCGGGGAATGTGCAATCTGACAAATGACAGATAAGATGTGCTTTTCAGGGGAATTGTACAGATCTCATGATTAAATAAATAACAGTGCCATTTAAGCTTTTCTACTCCACATGAAATAAGCAAAGTAAGTGTTTGGCTGTAACAAAAGACCAATGACACTCGTTAGACTCAAAGCATCTTGGAGCTGTAACTTATTTTGTAAACAGAAGACAGCATGGCAGGTTAATAATAGCAGCAAGCGGACCTGAAAGGAGCCACGAAACACCACCTCTGGCCAGAACTTTAACAAAAATCAGTGCAAACAGAGAGATTTAGCCTTGAGTTGAAAGGACAAGCTTGATCTATGGATGGCGACACGACCCCAAAAGATCGTCATCTGATTTTCTGGCCAGATCGCCACCTCTGATAAACTTTAAAGAGGATGTGCACCAACTACAGCAGCAGCATTCAACCTGACTGAGAGCAAACACAATAACACTCTGCACTCTTCAGCTTAAGATAAGTCAACCGTAACTACAAGCCAAAACCAAGACTCCTTTTAGCTCTCTAACAAGTTGACAGTCTCTACCATATAAAATGAAACAGCTCGGATGACCTTCAGGGACACAGAGTTCACAGCACAGACTGCAACCTTGTGCATTCAGTTCTTTATGTTCTATATGTGGTGGATGTTTAGTTTAGAAAAGCACCCAGCTGTTGTCACCCATATATTAAAACAGCTTACCGTAGCAGACTATAGCAGCTCGAGCTCCTCTGTAGTAGATTCTGCTCATGGCTTCGTAACGCTCTGATCCGGCCGTGTCCTGAATGAGAGAAGAAAAAAAAAAACTGAGATCAGTCTAAATGGAGACATAACGTGGAACAGAAGCACCTGCATTATGTTAAACTGTGTAAACTTGGCTCCTGTCTGTTCATCCAATGGCATCTGAGCACGTCGGCTTCGAGTCTGAATGAGCATCCCGGTACCGTTGGCATAAAATATCTAACAATCTGTCTAGGTCAGACCTTGAAACATTTCCGTGTCAATTTCAACACTTGACAAATCTGAACCGCGTGCCGTCGCATTACTGCAGAGGCAAGCACAAGTGACATACTAAGAGCTGTGTAAAGTGATTTGGTTCTTCCACAATTTGGCAACAACATTGGTCAAAAAAACGTCAGAGTCCAGGACGCAATTATTATTCACTCATTCACGACAATTTCACTTCTATTACAAGCTGAAAAGTCCATAAAAATACAACTTAACCGCAATGAGACAGAATAATTTGGATTTTAGGACTCAACGATAATAATAAATGTAATCCAGGGTTTGACAAAACATTAACACAAGCTGATATTTAGATTGTTGCTCCCAGCTGTTCGTCTTTTCTCTGAGTTTAATAAATACCTGCACCATCAGACAACAGCAGGATCCATATGAGCGTCTTCAAAGAGAAAGAGGTGTTTGCACGATCATTAAACACTAAAATGTATAAATGATCCCCTATATGGAGACAGGATCAGACAGGACGTCACATTGTGTTCTTTTCTTCACCTCAGACAGGTTTGCATTGTATGTCACTTGATGTACTGTCCAATATTATGAGCATTACAAATATTGCATAACAGAAAAGTGACCTACATCTGAATGACAGAATGCCGTCACTGTAACAGATTGATGAAGCAGCAGTGTTACGGGTCTGAAAAGGGCTTCAGATCTGACTTTACAATGGTACACAGTCAACATTCCTACAACCCCCAATGCAGGCTTTAAATGCTGTGTAATCCCCAGCATGAAAAGCTCCAACGGCCACTTTCCCCTCAGAACTATCACACGCTGTGATTCCACAACTCAAATTCACAATGATTGTTTATTTTCTCACATTTCTTCTCATTCCACGCCTATTCCAGACACAGATATAGAGAAGTAGAGCACATAACAATGACTGAGCACTCAACACTCTATCTATACCATAATTATTTATATCCTCACGCTGTTGTCTTTCCTACACAGGTTCCACATTTATACAATGAGATCATCTATTAGCGTCTAACTCTGGCAGACCTCCAAACCAGCATTTCTCTGAATAATTGAAGAAAATTCTGTTGTGTCTGCAGGACTATTACACTGAGTTCTCTGTGGCATCCTAACAGTAGACTGATGTGACTTTTAAAAATAATGCAAAGATACATAAATATTGGATAAATGCTAAGGAGCTTAGTCTTTCCCGACATGTAAATTAGTTCAGTTAAGTGGTATAGTAATACACTTCAGTATATTCCAGATATTACTGTGCTGCTAATTTCCTGATTTATTTTCGATTTTGGAGCAGTGAGCTTGAAGACCTTCCTGCACACGTGTACTACAGGTGTCCTCTAACTCACCCATATTCCCAGCGTGATCACCTTCTCTCCCACTTGGATTGGTTTGGCTACAAAAGCAGCACCGATAGTCTGTCAGGAAGAGAAAACGAGAGGAGTTAAACATTAGACACTTATGGATGGAAATGCTCCTGTGGGCTCAGCGTGCTCTCAGTCTGAACGCTCACAGACCACAGTATAAATGGACACTAATGGGAGCTTGGATAAAACCACGTTGGACTGGATATCTTTGTTAAAATCAGCTGTTGACATGATGCATGCAGTTAAGTTGTTTTCTTTTACATTTTCAGTAAAAAGGGTGTGAGATGTTAGTGACCTAGCCCAAAATGCATTTCATTTTTTAACTTGAAATTTTAAAATCACAGGCATAAAACCCATATATATGTGAAAAACACTTTCATACATGACCTCCAGATAATCTAAAGCCACAACTTCTTATTTTTTGGTTTCAGCGACAGTGAACGTTTAGTGTCTTATCCCAGACGTGCATTCCGCAAAACTTGCTGGTTGAATAATCCTGAAGAAACGCTCTCTCATCTTGCCTGTACTACTGTGTATGTACAGCAAAATGACAATAAACTTGATTTGATTTGATTTATTGTATGTCACTAAGTCAAGTATTTGATATCTGACAAGAATTCTGAAAGTGTGTTTTAACTTTCTCATTGTGGATTGTTTTAAGTGGCCTGATTGATATTTCTAACAACATAAACTGTGTAAAAGGTCAAGCAGTCTGAACATTTTACGCAACAGTTCAGTTTCTAAAGATTATCATGGTGTCTTCGTAAACAGGACACAAGACAGACGTGTGAGAATCCATGTTAAAATTCATCCTCAAATGCTTGTTTAATGCAGTATCTACTTAAAGAAACTGACAAAAACATTACTGCAACCCGAGATTCAATCAGAGGTTTTATGCTTTTGGATGATTACATACTTGAGCCTCTATTAGCACAACCTCCCTGAAGGCTAAATACAAAAACAATGCCTTTCATTGCAGGCAGGGAGGGAATCAGCATCGTGGAAATTGAAGGGAAGCAGCTGACACTCACGTTCTGGTACGGGCCGACCAGGAAGCGGTGATGAACGTATCTCTCCACCAGGCTGGTCTTCCCAACGCTCTCCTTTCCCAGCATCACCACTTTGGCGTCCACGCGCATCGCACTCATAGTGACTGGAAAAGCCCAGGAAGAGACGGCAGCACAGCAAGCAGGAGGGGGGGAGGTGATTTACAAGGCAGGATGCTGAGTGGTGGAAACACAGGACACACAACAGATGAGTTATAACCATCCTACATGAGAAACTGAACTAAATACTAAACTCGAACCTTTTTACTTCCTCTTAATATCTAAAATTCTTCTCGATGTGTCCATTAATGCAACAGACGCTTCGTAAGCGAGCTGCAATGATAAATTGAATTAGATGTCAACTATTCAATTTATTACCAACTATTCTGACAGTTAATAAAACATTTTGATAAGTTTCTTAAGGGAAAAAAATGGCAAAATCCAGCTCCTTAAATTTGAATATTTCCTCGTGTTTTTTGCTCCTCTATGGGAGTATGTTGAATATGTTTGGGTTGTGGACAGAACAAGGCATTTGAGGATATTGTTATGAGCTATAGGAAACAATAATCAGCACTGTTCACCATTTCCTGACATTTTTTACACCAGATGATCAAGAAGATAATCAGCAGATGGACAATGAAAATAATCGCCACCTACAGTCCTTGAATACAGTTTATCTTACACACTTAACTACAGACACATAATGGTACATTTTTGCACACTTAATATAGTTTCCTTCTTTATTTGGTCTGTGATGGTGAGACAATACAGTATTTAAGGCAGCCACTAATTATATAGTTTTAAAAACTTAAATGTAAGTAAAAAATTTTTTAAAAATATAAATAAAAATGCCTGTAATTCCTCACTCAAGTGACGCAGTTACATGGTTCTTTTTATTACATTATCAGTCGAAACAAAAATATATTTAGGTAGTTTTAAAAATAGAAAATAGAAATTCTCACATTAAAAAAGCTGGAACCAGATTATGTTTTCCAATTTTCCGGATGGAAAAAAAAAGTCACTTACAGCAGTATTAATAGCATTACACTATGTCACTACTGAAACACACGTTAACCTGTTTAACTGTTTCAGTATTAACCAGGAGGTAAACAACGACTAGCTGCAGCTACTTCATAATACTTTTAGGCTTCTAAGTGAAACCACACTGTAATAAATGAGTCATAACATTCCATAAAACCAGTCCAGAACAAGTACAGTACAACATCCAGAATATTCCCTTTAAAAACACACAATTATGACAAGAGCAGGTGTTTGTACTTGGTATTGACAATGACCTGATAAAATAAAAGAGCCACTGATCAGCTTAATCGGGCCAGTTTGGGGGGTTTACCACCATTGTTCAAGGGTTAACTAACTACTATTTAACTACTAAGCAACAAGCACTAGCTTTCACTATATAATCTAAAACTGCACTGGATTTTAAAAAAATGTTTTAATGAAAACAAAAAGTTAAAAAGGGTATTTTTAATCCTGCTTGAGCTCTCCAAAACTTTGACACTTTTTAAGAGGGAGCTTGTATTTTAGTTTTATTGTTGTGCCTGCAGATTGGTGTGTTTTCTCCCAATAAAGAAACAAAATTAGGTTTACTTAAATGACATGAGGCTAGAAATCGTTCCGTTAGCTCTCCGGGACCAACATGACACAGCCAAAAGCAGCAGCAGTCCGGTACAAATAGTCCTAACTGGGGTTGGGGAGCTCAGTTAGCTTAGCTGCCTCCAGCTTCGCTCACAAACACTGAAAACTCACCGAGTAACTTGCTTGACTCAACAAATCGCTCTTCTCCGAGCAGCAGACAAACCGGGACCGACACCCGCCTACCGAAGCTGCTGTGAGGCGGACACGGTAACCGGCAGCTCGCTTGTCATCTCCGGACTGTGAAGGCAGCAGCTAGCTCCGTTAACGTTGCTGCCAATGTTGCGCAACGACCGAAATTACATGCGAGTCGTCAGTTAGAAACGAAGACCGACTGGCATCGTCTCCGGTACACGGGAGGTCTGTCCTCTGAGAGCTGGTCCGGTTTTACTGCCGGGGGATCGGCCGGCCGGACGCCGAGCAGTGCAACGTTTCTGTGGGGAGAACCCTCCAGCTGAGCTTTGTTTGTTTGGGTGGAACCGAAGAGTCGCAGGAGCTGTTTCCAGCAGGAGGAGGGGACTGAATTACATGAGGCAATCACCGGATGTTGGGAACCGGATATTTTTTTCCTCACTATGTTGGATAAAGTTCATGTCATCCGAGACATTACTTCATCACAGCTCAACTCAGGACACGTCAACTATTAATACAATAAATAATCAACTTAAAGCAAAATAAACAAAAGTATTTAGTAAAAAAAAAAATGTAATCAATACAAAACCACAAACAGCAGGCCTTCAATAGCAAAACACCAAAGAGACACAGAACAACCATAAAGAAACTAAAAATTACCAAAAGCAGCCACGAAATAACAGCAAATATATACAACACAACCAAAAAAAACAGTATTAAAATAACCACAAACTACTCAAAACAACCACAAAGAGAATCAACGTGTCAAAAAACACACAAAACAGCTGCAGAGACACAAAAATTACCAAAAATGTACTTGAAATGACCACAGGGTGCTTTTGTTGTTGTTTGCGACCATTTTGTGTCTCTCTGTAGTTATTTTATGTCACTATTTTGTGTTTGACTTGTGTGACTGGGGTCACTTTGTAGTCACATTCTGTCTCTGTGTGGTAATATGTCATGATTTTGTGGATGTTTCCAGTCTCTGCAGTTAATTTATATCACTTTGTGGTCCCTTTGTGCCTCTTTGGGGTTCTTATTTTTGTCACTTTGTTGTTGTTTGTGACTATTATTTGTCTCTTTGTGGTTATTTTGTGTGTGCCTGTGGTTTTTCATCGCTTTGTTAACATTTTGACCATCTGTAGTTTTTGTTGTTACTTTGTGGCTAGTTGTGTTTGTTTGTTTTTGTTTGTTTTGTCATTTTGTGTTAATCCTTATGTCACTTCCTGGTTATTTTGTGTTGACTTTGTATGTGTTTTTTTTGTTTGTTTGTTTGATTTAATCACTTTGGGGTTACTTTGTGTGGATCGGTGGCCATTGTTGTCAGTCTGTGATCATTGATTAGACCAGTGTCAGTGACTAAGGGCTTTTGATTGGATCACCTAAAGAGACTTTCATCAATGACAGTTCATTTTGTGCGCTTGCTACTGTGATAAAACACTTTCCCTTGTGGGTCATTAAAGTTTATCTAAGTCTACCAGAGTTCAAACAAGAACAATGTAGGCTGGAGTTCACCGCATTAGTTAGGTGTGACTATTTCACTGGCAACTGAGTCAAGTGCTGAAATGATTGATTAGTCAACCAACAAAATCAATACACAAATTTGACAGGCACTTAACTTGTTTTACTATTTAGATTTGATATTTGTATCAAATAATCCAGTTAAAACAACAAACAAATTAATCATGTGTCACGTCACTAAACGCATCACGCAGTTCTAAGAAGCTGATTGGTCCAAACGGAACCCGGTAGTGACGCTGACCGCTGGTTGGCCGAGTACTCCTGAACGCTACCAATCTCATCCAACACACTCACACACGGGTTAGAGAGACCAACATGGCTGAAGCGGAGGGAAGCGAGTTAACTTCAGGAGGGATCTTTCAGGAGATCTTCACGTCCCCGCTCAACCTGACGCTGCTCAGCCTCTGCCTCTTCCTGCTCTACAAGATCTTCCGCGGCGACAAACCGCCGGAGCTCAGCGAGGCGGAGAAGCCGCTGCCCAAGCTGAAGAAGAGGGACTTCACCCTGGCGGAGCTGAAGCCCTACGATGGACTACAGGATCCGCGGATCCTCATGGCCGTTAACGGCAAAGTGTTCGACGTGACCCGGGGGAAGAAGTTCTACGGACCAGGTAACGTTACCGGAGCCGGCGGTTTTGACGGACGGTTCGGTTCTGCTGCTCCCGCTGCGAACACAGCGTCCAAACAGCCAGAAACAAGTCACCGTTAGTTTGGAGTGAAGCGACTAACAGCAGTTCACTGACATTACGAGCTGAAGTGAGTAGTTTGTGGCTCCGGTCCTGCTCAGTCCGGTGGACGCGGCCGCCACACCCCCTTCAGTCTCCTCAGATCCCGTTTCATAACAGAGGGGCTGCGGTAGCCTTGGAGCCAGAGATCGTCTCTGGAGAAGTGCAGCTCTCCGGGAAAATAACTCGACCGCCGCCATGTTTTCACACCACAAAGTGTCTCAGTCACTGTGGAGGCTCTAAAGATCGCAGTCATTGATTTTAAAATAGTTTATTTTCACATTAAAGTGTCGACTCACCGTTAATAGTGACGTTAAAAACTTACCTAATAAGTAAAACAAAAAAATCTATACATATATATATAATTATTGTTGTTGTGATACTACAATAGTATATGCAAAACAAACTAACCCTGACTGAAATCTATATAAATCGAAGTTCAAGTGTTACATTATTATTGCTTACACACATTTATCGGATTAACTGAAATATTAAGGCTAAGACCCTACAAGATTGGACACAATATATTGCAAACAAATATGACTTAGTCTATATGAAGTAGAACCTATAATGTTATATATTATTCAATTTAATCTGATTATTTTAATGTTAAGGTTAAAATCCTAGAATGTTACACTTATACATTTACAAAACTAACTTAAATATCAAGGTTATGACCCGACAATATTATATGCGATATAATGCAAATAATGTGTTTGGAGTAATGTATTATCAGTTGTGTATATACATTTTAAATATTGGATTTAAGACACAAAAAGCTACCTTATTACCTTAAATATTACTATAATATTTTAATCCATAAAATACAAGTATACCTAACTAATAACTAACTTTAAAACTACAGTCAATACCCCACTTACATTTTTATTTAAATTTTTTTGCAAAAAAGACTTTAATCTTAACATCTTCTCAAAAGCGACTATTTAATTTTTCTAGTTTTGTGTGACGTTCATCTCAATTCATTCTTTTTTTGTCAACTGGTCAGACAAAACAAGACATGTAAATGTGTTATTTTAATCTGTTAATTTACAGATTTAAAAACAACAATAACTGTACAACAGATGGCTGCAATTTGAACTAATGCATTTTAGTTTTTAAAAATAGATTTTGTCACAGCTTCTCCCCGAGACCTGAACCATAAGATCCAAAATACCGCTCCTTAGTGGTGTGCTATTTTGTGATGAATCAAGCTGGGGCTGCTGCCTGATTTGTATTTTAGCCTATTGTGTAAAATAAGCAGTTATTTTTATTATAGATTGATAAAGATTATTCTTCAATTTGTCAATTGAGGCCAAGGTGTTGTCCTGAAATGTGTTTGTGTTTTGGTGCTCATTGGTCCAAAAATGGAAGAAATGTGATTCATTTCACGGTTTATTTTTGCTTCCATTTAGCATTTTTGCTGTAAAAGTGATTCAAACTAGTATTTATTTATAAAAAAGATTAAATTTAAATTGATCAGTTAATCATTGCACCATTGCAACTCTTGGGGTATTTTTTTTACCAAATAAGGTTGCAATTGACAATTATTTCAGGTGTCAGTTATCACAATGATTCTTGATTGATCCTTTAATCTGTGAAACTGTCCGATCTGAGCGGCTGGAACATCAGATGTTTGACTTTTTTGTCTGGAAAATTGTTGCAAGTTAATTTTCTGTCGATTAATTGTTGCAGCAAAAATTGTGCCCTAAAGAAAAATCCCACCGATTAACTCAGTTTAAAAACAACATTAAATGATGTCCCTTGTCCAGAAGTAAACTATGTTTTCTGTTGCCGTCGCCTTGTCTTTATGTGATCCTGTAATAGCCCAAAATAACCGGCACAGTTGTCTAGAAACTCTTTTGCAAGTGTTGATCCTGTTGTCGGCAAAGTCACATCAGGTCATTGTGTGTAAAAACACAGGCCAAGTGCTTTTCAGGACACTGAAATGAAAGGTCAAATAAAACTCAGACGCACATGAGTGGATACAAGTAAACTAATAACAGTATGAACACAGTCAGGCTGGAAATTAGTGATACTTTCTGATTCCAACAACTGTGCTGGAGAAGTCCTGACCTGCAGCTCTGAGGATTTTCAGTTTCTCTAAAGTAGGAATCTTCTCTGCGAAGCTTCACATTGACTTTTCCGTCATCTGGAAACGGAAACAGAGTTGGACCTCTGTGTTTTTATCTTATCTCAGAGTGTAACCTCTGTTGCGTGTAACCTCTGCCCAACATGATAGCTCCCTGACATGCAAACATTCCCAGTGCACTGTGCACCCAGCCCTCAAGCCTAAAATACTCCGTTTTGTTTCAGCTGGAGCTGATCTTAACTTTTGTCCACCTCAGGCGGCTGCTCAGGCTTTCAGGTTAGACTCAGAGCGTTGGCACGTTGGCAACACTCGGGCCTGTTAAATGTGTAACTTCCTGAATGTTACGGCCTATTGTCTGAAAGTGTTGGGTGTGGATGCTACAGCTTAGTTTTGATGCAGATATAAAATGCCACAGTAATGACTTTTCATGAAAGAACTTTACCATTAACATAAGAAAAAGAAATGGCCTATAGGTTTTAATCAGACACAAGCAGCTGTGCAAGAAGTTTAAATAAAAAAATTGAAATCAGGACACATCTTATCCAAAAAAAAGAGTAAAATATTGTTTCTGTGCTGACTGTCATTTTGCAGGTTAAAACAATTATCAGTAAATTCAAAACAAATGAATACAATAATTACTAATTATATCCTGAAAATAGTCACCCTTTACTTACATCATATATTTTTTATACTAAAAAGAGAGATTTCATTTCTATTTATCAGTGTTGGAAACAGTCGATTATCGGAGGCAGTTCATAATCTTTTTTGTTGGTCAGAAGAGTGAATAAATGTTATTTCCACCCACATAATTAGAGAAATGTCTGAGGAAAATAAATAATATAGTTCGTCATAATTTAACAAATCCATTAAAAAGCCACGACTTGGTCTGTTGGCTTCTACTAAAGATGTAAATCTTTGCTAACGCCTCACAAATACATGCTTTGACTTTGTAAATTGACTCTGTTCTTTCCTGAAACAGCTTTTAGATAACTTCACTACAACAGGAGGAAATAAAGCCTTTGTTGGGGACTATTTTCAGCTGCGGATTGATACACATTTGGGTGTTCTGGTTAGTGTTTCCAGCAGCAGGACAGTGTGTTGGGGTTTGGCTCAAAGTAAACTGTGACTCAGGGATGTGTTTGAATCATTTTTGGACCACGATAAAACTCTAACCATCATTAAACCGAGGAGAAGAGCTTCGATGCCACTCACCAGCTACTTACTATGCAGTCCTGAGATCTCTATTTAGATCACCTTTACTCCAGATCACACCTTGTTTTAGGGTCTCTAGCTACTCAGACAATGACTGGGTGTCGACACTCTATTAGCATCTCAGCCAACTGTTGCTACGCTAATGGTTAGCTTGATGACTAAATGGGGGCAAAGTTAGCTTGACATGACTAACATGTTGAACTCTTTCATCACTGATCCCAGCAGCACGACTCTGATAGTCAGCATCTGTAAATGTTGCGTTACAGCCACCTGCTGGAAAACGATGGCTTTTCTCTACATTTGTGAATTTTGTGAGACAAACAGAGTGTCAGACTGGTCCCAAAGGGATCCACAAACATCCATCCATCTATTATCTATACACCGCTTAATCCTCACTAGGGTCGTGGGGGGCTGGAGTCTATCCCAGCTGACTTAGGGTGAAGGCAGGGGACACCCTGGACAGGTCACCAGTCTGGATCCACAAACATCATTCACAAATATATTTCAGTTGAAAAATGCAAAGCTAATATGCACATTTTGATTATTGAATTATAAATTAGATGTACAAATACAAATTGCTCAAAACTTAGACATGAATAATGTGACATTTGATAAGTGTTGTTCTTCCTGCATTAGTGGATTTTGTGTAAACAGCACAGAAGCAATGCACACAAATAAGTGGAGATTCTAAGATATATTTCCATTGCAGCATGCCAAGTTAACATTTGTTATATGAGTTACAATTAGACTTAGATGCAACTCACTCTGCATTTATCCGTGGATTGTTTCTTATTAGCTACAGAAGCTTATGAGACTCCACACAACTAAAGATGAGGTGAAACCTCTCCAAGTGACTCTAACAAATCCAATTACCTTTAGATAAATGGAGCTCTGAGATGGAGATGAATCAGATCATTGTTGGTTTTGGTGAATATCATAAATTCACTGTTTGCATCCACCTCATCATGTGTCTTCACTGTCTTGCAGAGGGACCGTATGGAGTGTTTGCAGGCAGAGATGCATCCAGAGGTTTGGCTACCTTCTGTCTGGAGAAAGATGCCCTGAAAGACGAACACGACGACCTGTCAGACCTGAACGCTATGCAGCAGGAGAGTCTGTCTGAGTGGGAGACTCAGTTCACCTGTGAGTGCAGATATGTGACCAAAGTTTTAAAAAAAACAAAAAAATCATGTTTATTCGTTGTGTCATTTTTAAAACTGATATGTAGCGGAAACATCCAGTTAAAAACACAAAATGTATGAACTCAAGCATGTTACTTGTTTAATTTACCTGTGCCTCCTATTAGTAGTGAGTGTTACTGGTTAGAATTATGTCTAAATGTGAGCAGTTTTTTGAGATTTTTCAAACTCAACAATCAATTGATCCCATTAAAGTGACCATAAACACTATTTTCTGCTCCATTTCCAACAACTTAGTCCTTAACAAACACCAAATTTACCCTAAAAAAAGTGGGAGAGCTGCAGAACATATAAAAAGACTTCACTGTTTCCACTCGACTGAGGCCTTCTGTGATTAACTTCCTTTTATCCTCCGTTCCAGTTAAGTACGATTACATCGGCAAGCTGCTGAAGCCAGGAGAGGAGCCCACCGAGTACACCGACGATGAGGAAACAAAGGACAAGAAGGCGGACTAGAAAAGTAACTCAAAAGGGGGAAAAAAAAAAAAGAGAAATGCCTTAATGTTTGTAATTTGATTCCTGTTGCCTCCTTTTAGGACCATTCAGAGAAAACACTTTTGGACCAATCCTGGATTTTCTACGTCGACTGAATTCCGTTTATCTCAATTTATCCTCACTGAAGGCATTAACAGCTGAATAACTGTGTTCTGATGTAGAGCTGTGTAGTTTGTTAGAGTTTATAGTAGTTGTTGTAAACCAGCCTGGGCCCTTTGCTGCATTCCCTCCCCTCCTTGTCTCTCTGCTGTTGTTTTTTTGGTAATTAAACCTGAAAAAAAAAAATCATCTTTCAGGAATAATATTGATCCTTGGACCAGTTCCAGCCTTTTTTAAAGCCTCTGCTGGATGGTGATGAACCGCACTTTTATTGCAGGTTTCATGTAAGGATGTCAGGAATCAGTTTTCATATTAAATTCATAAAAATACATTGATGGTCTGCAGCTAGAGAGCAAGTTTAAAGGAAAATCACAGTATGTTTGAATGCTTTTCTCACAGTTGTTTAAAACATCTTCTGGATTACAAGCCTCCTGAAACTTCACAAATGTGCTTCCCTCTAAAAAGCTCCAATCTACCAATCATTTGCTTTTAACAAGATTGTTTAAGCTTTTCAAAATAAAAGCTTTAAGTGGCTCGTATACAAAGAAAGGAGGACCCACAATCAGAATTATCCTTTAAGAGGAGAGTGAATGCAGCCAAGTGGGCCGAACATTGATGAACCGAAGTGAATATTTTTAGACATTAAAGATAAACACAGCTACAGATCTGCTTTAACTCCTTCTTTGTGCTGAATCACATTTCATTTTCATCAAACAGCCAAGTGGATCATTACTTGATTTCGGAATGTGCAAGAAATGTTTGCTGCCTTTTCTTTTGTCAGCTCCTCAAACTATAACAGGACGACAATGCACGGATGTTTGTGACGTTCCCTCACATTGGTTTATGCAAGTTTTCACAGGTTTTAATCTGCTTTGACTGTAATATTCACCGTGACAATCTAGCTGTTGCATCCAGCAGCATATTTGCTTTGTTTTCTCAACCTGCAGAGGTTGTCTGTTTCTCAGCGGTTTGTGTAATCTCATTAAAAGTCAGTCAACAAAGCAGTTCAGTCGTCTGTAAAGCAAATTTTTAAAGCATTCTTTGGTTTCAGCTTCTCAAAATATACAGATTTGCTGCTTTTCTTTGCAATTTCTTTCAGGTTTTGGACTGTAGGTCAGACAAAACAAGTAAGGTGCAATGATTCTGTGAAAAAAAACAAACAGAAAAAATGCTAAAACACGAAGCCCTCGTTCGCACACTCTTGTGTTTCTAATGTTGATCACTGTAGTTTATCACATGGTGCAGAGCAAAGTGTTGAAGACATGGCTTCATCTTTAAACACTAGTGAGGCCAAATGCTGCCAGTTAACTGCTGTTTTAAATAAGAAAACACAAGAAGTCGTATTTAATTATTTCCCCCTTTCAGCTGATCATTTGTTTACATTCTTGTTAACACTAATCGATGGCAAAGAGGCCAAAGAGGCTCAGTGGACCCTTCAACAGCAAGTCAACGGTTAAATTCTGGTTCTGTTTGAAGCCATTTTCCAACTTTGTCCACCACATTTTTTCAGCATAAATGCTAAATGTTATGCTATTCTTCCTGATTATGTCAGTCACTTCCTGCAGAAATAAGCAGTTAATTTATAATCCAGAAGTTAAAATGGAAGAAGATGGTGTTTTTCTGACTGTAGAAAAATATGCTCTGCTAATATTTTTCATTCTTTGCCACCATCATCTGTGTAACTTTCCATATAAACAGATTCAGCGAGGGAACATTTTCAGTATGCATGTACATAATACTCATAATACTGTCATACTGTTGTAATCCTCAAATGATATTTTGATTAAATAAAAAGTACAACAAAACAAGGACTTGAGCATTTCTTTATTTTCATATCATTCGAAGATTATTATTGACTGAGACCACTATAGAAATAATAATAATGTGACCTGTTTTATATATAAATAAGAAGCTAATGTGGACTATAAAAAAGTATGGAGCCTTTTATTTTAACTGTCTGAAAAAACACATTCGTGTACAGTTGATTTCATTGTTTTGCCTCTATTTGCTTTAATGTTTTAGTTTTGGAGTTGATAGAATCAGTAAAAAGGTTCATAAAAAAATATTAAATATTGCCCAACTGAAACTAAGACAAAACTAAAACTCTGCTGCATGTGTGTGACTAAGAACAGAAAAAGAGCACACATGACACCAGTTTTAAAGTCTATACGTCACATAATATATGTAAGGGATAATGCCCGACGAGGTGTCCATTATCAGAAATTAATGGACGACGCGGAGGCGTGAACCGTCCTTCGCGTCGGACGGTTCACGCCTCCGCGTCGTCCATTAATTTCTGATAATGGACACCTCGTCGGGCATTATCCCTTACTTATTTTTACTTGTATGTACAGTTTATGGTCATCTGTCTCATTTAGCATTGATATTTTATAAAACTCCTAATGATCTTGGTGTCACCTATTTTTAGTTTCAAGCCCTTAGATTCTGTTTGCATGAAAGCTGCTACGCAAAATATTTTGTTTATGTGTAATTAGGTATTTGATTTGTTGAATGCGAAATGTAAGGTCTTGCATGCAAAATTTTGTTAACGGTTTTATTCTCCAATTTATTTATTTTTTTTATAGTTATTTTCAGATTTTAATTTTATGACATATTACCTTAAAAATCTGTGAACTGAAACAGAAAACAGCCCCAAATTTCAGATAAACAAAAGAATGAGTGTCATTCAATTTAAAATAAATTCTAAAAGAAGCCCAAACTAGTAACAGCTTGTTTAGCCACACTAATACATTGTTCCTGCGAATCCCAACCCCAGTCGTATTGGGATGACTAATACTGCCACAGTTTATATTGCAGTTATTTGTTTGCCATTTTTTTAGTTCGTTATTACTGTTGAGGCAGAAAAAGTTATGTGTCAGAAGTGGGATTCGAACCCACGCCTCCATTTGGAGACCAGAAGTCCCGTTTCAGCGGAAGGAGTTTATCCTTGAGTCTGGCGCCTTAGACCACTCGGCCATCCTGACACGGTGCTAGAGCGGGAAATCAGTTGGGGTTTTATACGTAACAAATTGTACACGCTAAACTGATATCTGATATTTTGAAAGCTGTTCGACATATGTTGAAAATTGATATTAATTGCTATCTGTGTATTTTGTATTTGATTTTATAGTGTCTGAAAGTGTGAATTTATTCTCCATTTTTTACCCTTAACGTTCAGTCGGCGCATGCTCACATTGGCAATCATAAAGGTGGTACATTTATGAAACGTGGGAAGAGTAACAAGCACACCCATTACTCTCACGTTTGAGAGACATTGTTGTATTATTTCATGGTTACTAGGCCTAGCTCTTTTTATTTAACGTAACTATCAGTAGTGCTGAGTTTCCATCGATTTTGCCAACGGTTTGCCAATACATTTGTCATGTCTTTCTCCAATTCCTTTTTTTCTAGTTCTCGTAATAACTTTTTTACTATTGAAATTGAACGCAACATAACTTCCGGTTTTGCCTACGTGCAGCGGCCATATTACTTTTCCGTTCGTCAAGGGTAACTGAAGACACCAGGCGAGACAACATGTACCGGTTTGCTAAAGTTGCAGTCAACGTCAGCAGTAAGGAAGCAGTTTTTCTTGTCAGTTTGTTTTGTCTGCGTTCGTTTGCAGCAGGCGACAATTTGTTATTAGTCTGTGGAAAGTCCAAAAGTCTGCGTGGTCGGTGACCGCGGTTAGCCTGCTAGCATTCACAGTCTGCCGTTAGCCAGCTAACATTAGCATCTCCCTGAGGAGACAAAATATGTGATAAAATACTGTTAATCGTAAAATTGCATATCTTGAATGTTATGTCGTAAATTATCCTAGTTATTCCATTTAAAGTAGCTTTGTTAATTGTCGATTATTTTAACAAGATGTCTTTGCCCGAACCTCTGACCTGCATAACTTCAAAACAGTTAGCTTCTCGCTTGTAATGTTCATTCCTTTATTGAGTAGTTTTGTTTATGTAAATTATTTATTGTAAATCACAGGCTACGGTAAACTGTCTAGATAATGTCTATGTGTTTTGACTGTGAATTTAATTGATTTGCAAGGGCAAATAAGGGCAGTCTGTATTTAGCATCTAGAAATTGCTGAAATCACCTTTGAAGGGTAGATTTGGTTTCTGTTAATGAGTGTCAGCAGTGACAGTTAAAAAGAAAATATGTAATATGATTTATAAATGCTGGAGAGGTTATGATTTATGTTAAACAATGTGGTGACCGATATCGATTTACATCTTAGTATGGCCTTCTTTCTTTCTTTTTTTATTGGTCGTGTTTTATATCCATCCCTGAAGTGTCTTTCTTTTCACTGGGAGGTTGAATTTAAAAGAGGTCATATAAGTCCATTCTGAGTCCACTGTGTAACCTGCTGTCTAATTCATTCGCGTAACTTTGTATCTCATTTTTACTTTACATTAGGGCTGCAAATAATGTTTTTTCATTGTCAATAAAGCTGTTGATGTATTTCCCCAGTTAATCCACTGTTGTGACTATAAAAAGTCAGTGGTGACACATGTCAGATCTGTGTAATCAGTGATCAGTGCCCAAGATGACATCGTCAAATGTTTTTGTTTTTTTTTTTGTCCACAACCCATAGATATTCAGTTTACTGTTGTAGAGGTAGAAATTACCCTCAAAAAATTATTCTAGTCTAAGACACTAGAATCAAAGAACTTCTTTATTTTCTATTTTTTTTAATACTCAAGCAGATTATTTGGTTATTGAAATACTTCAATAATTTAATAAAAGACAACTCATCGATTCATCGAATAATTGTTCCACCTCTTGATAATAATGTAAATAGCGCTGCAACTACCAATTATCTTCTTTTGTTGATTAATCTGCTGCTCTCTAACATAATTGAATGACCAAGGGGGCATCATCAGCTTTCCTGTCTGACCAACACTCCAAAACACAAAATTGTTGTCTTTTTCTTTAAAAAACAAAGATAACCAAAAACTGAAATGAGTAATTAATCACCACAATAGCTTTAGATGTTCAATTTCAGTTGATTGGTTAATCATTACAGCTCTAATTTTGTCCGACCAACAAAAAAAATTGTTAGTTTTCTTTAAAAAAATTAAAACATTCTTAACAGTTTATCAATCGATCAGTTAATCATTGCAGCTCTGAATGTATCAAACA